TGCAGTTTTGTTTGGGCTAATTGCGGCTTTCCGTGACGGGACGATTAGTTTCGACTTGGAATCAATAATATCGTATGCAAGCATAAGATTAACCGGCGGTTTACAACACGTAATTAACCGATAAATAATGCTAAAAACCGGTTCTTGCACCAAACCAGTTCTGTGATAACTAAATTTTACTTTATTAACAATCATTATTTGATGATCGTGTCCAGTGTAGGTGTCGCATATGAATGCTACACTTGCATTTCTGTATGGAGAATAGCTGATTTGAAAAATATCACCTTTTCGAGTTATTTAGCGAAGTGTGAGGCTATACATCCTGTATTTAATTGCAGTGACACAACTTGTGATGCATGAGCTCAAAATTTGATCATAAAAAATAGTGACAAGGAAGGCAATGCCCTAACAATTTCTCATATAAGACGTGCTTTCAGAGAACATCGTAAAAATTTAAGTGAGGTAATAAAACGTAGCTTTCACGTCAACTTTTATAAAATTCTTGTTCTCCTCTTGTAAGTTACACATTCATCACTTAATCATTTATTAAATTTATTCGTTTTATTCTATTCAGAGCGAGATTTATCGTTCGCAACCGCGTGTAAAAAGCCCTTCAATCAATAATTCTCCCATTTGAAAAAATTAAATTAAAACTCTCGTAAATCTCGTATAAAGATCACAAGTTGCGATGAAGTCGTATTTGCTGATGTCGGCGTACCGCAAACATCGTCAATGATCCCCGATATTCGCATCTAGTTGATTAGTTAGATTGTCAAAGTTAATTAGTCAAGTTTCGGACATTCCGCATTTTGGGGGATGCGTACGGCTGTAGTACCTACGTATAAAACATTCGGGATTACACAATGTCGAACTTGTTAAATACAAAAGAACGAGGAAGACGATGTGGTAAAAGCGGCCAACCAACTTAAGTCGAAGCCGAGGCCGAGGAATGCCGCTCACAACAGGTAATTACTGGACTAGATGCACACAATGTGTGAACTAACCGAGTTCTGTTCCCTTCTTCACAAAAGCAAAACTCACTCTAGAACTAAAAACATTTTTTCACAAAAAACATCATAGCATTTTTAATTAAAATTTGAATAGCTACAACATTACCCACTTTCCTACAGCTTTATTACTGGCATTTCTATTTCTTAGAACCAAGTGCAAAGTAAAGCTATCGCACTTAAAAAATAATTCCACTTTTAACTAGACCTACTTTAGCGTTAATCTCTTATTTTGACAAAATAACGTCAATTTTTATTATTCTAATTGCAATAAATGTTTTATATCTTTTATATTGGTAAATTACCTAAAATGGCAGCGGCGTAATTAATAGATGGGTTACAAGGGCTCCAAATAACATAAAAGGTAGTAATAATGCGATCAGTAAATAATTCAATTTTGATTAGTATAAAATGCTAAATGATCAGTCATTTAATTAATTTTTGCACAATAAAAATAATAAATGCTAAGTAAAGCACGCACAGTATTTTATTGTAATTTGTTCAGTAAAAAAATCCAATTTGCACAGTAAAAATAATAAACGCTCAGTAACTTTAATCAAAATTAGTAAAATAACATAAAATTTAAGGAATTTTCAGTCTTGGTTACGTAACAATGTATGGCCCCTGCGCAAGAATTTTATTTATTATTATTGTAGGGTGGTATATGTATTAGCAAGAGCCTCTGCGCAAGAATGACTTTACAATTGTGTTTTTGAACGGTTTGCGACATTCCAGTTTTGCTCGGAAATATTTTGTTTGTAAATGTGTGAATATTAAATTAATTAGGTTTACTAGACATTCATTCATTTCCTATACTGTGCATTTATTATTTTTACTGTGAATTTATTAGTTTACTGTACATTTAATTTGTTCCCTAATATAAATATAATAAGTGAAAAATTAATATAACAATTTGCACAATGATGAACCGGATTATTATTCAAGATGTCAAGATAAATAAACACTTTAAACAATTACTCTTGATTAATTTTAGTGAGGAAATAGAATAGACGGCTAGACAAATCAAAAAGAGCCAAAACCGGTAACCAATAATAATAAATAGAACAATTTGGGTGATACCGTTTATGTAAAACTCTCAAATAAATGAATTATTAATTATTCAGAGTATACATACAGGTGAACAAAAAGTATGGACCAAGAGTATTTTTTGTTTAACATAAACATAACAAGTTTATTGTAAAAAAAAATGATAGATAAGAATAAAATTTCTAGAAATATTAGCATATGTTTATTAATATAAATGTATAATTAAATAAATAACTGATATATCAACGATATATGTATGAAACCTTAACCTTTGAGCATTGTATCAAGATAAGGAATGTTAAAAATTGACAAAATAGAAACTGAATTGCAATCTGCGGTGACATTTCGTTTTAGAAATAAGCAAGATAACAACAGTTGATGAAACTAATTTGCTTTTCAACAGCCATCAAAAGATGTGCGAAAAGCATCCATTCAAAGCACCGATAAGCTGCATATATTGAAATAGTTTTATAAGGTATCAGATATATTGCTATAACTCTGTTTAATCGATAATTCTAATATCGAAGCTATCAGTCTGTCGCATGTTGAATTTATATGGTATATGGTTAACACTGCCTGCATTATCGATAAAATAGCTTAAATATTTAACTTTTCTTTTGAAATATTTAATTTGACGTTTGTGAAGTCAAAAACCGGTTTTTGGAAGCGGAGGAAACCGGTCTTGGAACCGGTTTGGTATCGATCATCAGTAATAAACCAGTTTGTAAAGTTAAGCGCTTCACTTTTAGAACTTGAAGTTGTAAAAATTGTCAATCGATCCCGTCTAATGATTACAGTGCGGCAATAAACATTTTATTGATGTATCGCTGAGAGAATATGAGTTGGTTGAGGTTTGGCGGTTGTGCAAAGAAATGTAATTGTTGAGGTTTTGCTCGGGGTTTTGGGGCTAATCGCAGCTGATCACGTATGCATTTAAGCTTGGGGAGGGAGTGGAGGAGCATTAGCGATATTAGCGAGTGGTGTATGGCACATTGCGAGCTTTAAGGGGTTTCTTAAACGAGCATGTCCTAGCTCTAACTCTCCAAGTCCTCACTTGAACTAAAAGGAAAGTACGTAAAACACTGTAATTAGCCATTCAGAATTGAATAAAGCGGACTTTCTGCACTTATTTGAAGTCAAGTAGGCACTTGAAAAGAATGGAATTTGAAATAGTTTATTTGCAAAGCTTTGGATTCGCACCACATGTGTGCCTCATTGATTTTTCTCTCTAATGAAAATTTACTTACGGCCTAAACGCGCCTTCGTTTTAATGGAATTTTAATGACGATTGCTTGACAAACACCACAGCCCTGACACCAGACATGCCAAAAATCCGCCGATTTAATTATTACTAAACTCTGATTTGCAATAAATGTGAATAAAACCTCGATTAAGGTGTCTCTACATTTTAATTATAGTTATCTTAAAATATGCGTTTTTAAAATTATCATCTCGATAAGCCAAACTGGGAAAACCACTTTAATATTTAAAATTGGTACTGGTTAAATGATAATACACATAACAGCCATTTATTAGACGATAATTATTTATAAAGATGATTCATGGTGTTCAATTTTATAGTATATTATTTAAACACCAACGGGCGACAGGAAAATTTATAAAATGCCTCTCATTCAGCCAACACAGGTCAACACAAACGATAATGCAAGGGTTATCACACATTATTCCAGATTTATGACCCTATGTCATTCAAATTTATTTTTATTCATTTCCTCGTTCATTATTATCATATTTTTATATTAACACAATTCTATCCTATCTTTTTCAGTTACCACAAATACGACCGATGGATGCATAATATCGCCCATACTTTATGTTATTGTTATTTGTCACAGAAAATCGCATTCCGCATGATAACATCGCTTCCACATTTTATTAATTACCTTATTTACAACAGCACGAAATGGTTATAATCCAATTTTCAAACATGTTGCGAATATTTCTGATTGAAATCCAGTCAACTGCACTCTCCAATAACAACTATGACACAATGAAATTTTAAAATCCCTCACTTTACTGAACTAAACAGTTTGAACGAGACGCCCAGTCTAACACACAAAAAATTTTTTTTACTTCTATATTGATGTTTGATTTTATTTTCATCCCATTCATATTAAAAGTCGTTGTCAATTTTTTGAAATTTATTACAAATACTCCCTTCACCATTTTTAAATTGGCGTGATTCATCGCCCGGAGGGTTGCTTGAAACACTAAATAAAATTTTTGTTTCCCCTGAACGTCCACACTTAATTTCATTCTGCACTTTTGATAGTCTAGGGAAAAAATTCAATACTTGCCGCAAAGTCTTTGCTATTGTTGGTGTTCTGTGAACCAGCCGTTGATTTGGTGTACAAAAGGTTGTGCAAGTTTAACAGTTTTGAAAGCAATTCGAACATCTGTCGCGATGTCCTAGTATAGAGCTTGGTCAAGTGTGAAAATAGAAAAAATAGCATACGATAAGAAAATTGTTCATTTCAACGAATTTGTGAAAACAATTAAGCGCTTGGTTGTTTTTTACTGTCACTACCAAACCAGTAGATTTTGTTATTAGCGGAACTTGAACAACTTGTTTAGGTTTAATTATTCAGACTATAATGGAAATAATTGCTTCAACAAGTCAACAATTTCTGCGTTATTGAGAGGTATTTTTAGAATGCAGCTTCAACTCACCTTTTTCGAGTATAATACATGACATCAGCGCACATTTCATTATCTCTTAATTGATATGAGGCGTCTACAACTCAATGAATAAGATGCAAATATGTGTTGTGAAACACCTGATTAAACGGATCTATGCACATATTGTGTACTAATGTTTAAAGCATGTCAAGGACTCATTATTATTTATTTATTACAAGCGACAAGCATATTAGTTTCGGGACATGGTGTATAATGTTTTTTTATTTATTGATTGATTTTTTTCAGAAGTTTACCGATATGAGACGGCATACGCGTGTGAAGGCAAGACACTCAAAATTGAATGCAAAGAAGGCGAATTGATAAAGTTGATCCGGGCTAATTATGGTCGATTTTCGATAACGATCTGCAACGACCATGGAAACACCGACTGGAGCGTGAACTGCATGTCGCCAAAATCTTTGAGGGTTTTGCATGGGAGGTGAGTATCGATTTGGGGAAAAATCAAAGCTTCTAACCAGAATTATTTTACCAGTGACTAACGTGTCTCGATCCTTCATTAAATTTTATGATATCATTATATCGCCATAAATCTATTGGGAATTAATTGAATGTTGGGATTTTATTGTGATTTGTAGGCGCCATTTTATTGCAATCAAGAATTTTTACATAAAGCTTGATTAAAGTTGCAAACCTTGACCACATCATAAGGAATCCAAATTTCCAAACTGCAAATAGAACAGGCTGTATCGCCTCATCAATTTTAATTTTAATTAGATTTAAACAAAAACAACTTGGAGTAATAGATCTCCGTTCTTGTTCTGTTGGTAGTTAGTGGTAACAAATTCATAATTGTTTACAAATAATAATGGCGATTTGATGGATTTGCTCGTAATCCTAAGTAATAAGCCTTGCCGCCTCATATGCATAATTGTACAGGTTGCTACCTTGAATGCATGCAGGAGGCCTCTTCACTGCAATAAATTTTTTCCACTCAAACAGAACAAAATTAAAATTACATTAAAAACTCAACAAGCATTCATAAACACAGAAAGAAAATGTTTCATTTTTCTAAGATTTTTAGACGCACTCAAAATTCAATTGGTGAAACAAGGAGCTATAAAAGTATTTCATAAGCAAATACGTTTCCCACAATTGCAATGTAAATTGAGGTTTTACTTTTTTGTAAAAATTTCATTTGGCAGAATTTAATTGTAACTTTTGATTTTTAAAATTCCTACTAAACTGTTTCATTTCACATTCTTCACTATGTAAATGGAATTTTGGAAGATAATTTAATATAATTTTATATAGTTTTTCGATAAGGCTTTTAAACAGTTGAAAACATACCCTGAAATTATTTTCCTTTTTTTAATTAAATGTCTAAAGAGACTTCATTGTAATTTTAAAACAATACCATTCAAAATTTGGTTAGTTTTCCTTAAGCTATTAACTACTTAACTGAAGAATGATTTTTTTTAAATGTAAATCAAATAAATATTAATTAAAATTTTTCTTGGTTTTTAGAATTTTTTTATATTTCTGTCAGCTAAAGTTTTAAATTCTAATAGAAATTTGAAACATTTTAGAAAACGAATTTTAATAAAATGTAAAATATCTCTTCAGCTATTAATTAATTAACTGAAAAAACACTCATCTATTTCTTTATCTATTTTGTTAGGTAAATCAAATAAAATAATATTAAAAGTTTTCATCGTTTTTTCAATTTAAGTTTTATATTTTTATAAAAATCTATAGATTTACAATTCTAACAGAGATTTTAAACATTTTTAGGGGCTACAAATTAAAAACATCTTATAGAAAACACATGAAAATACCTAATTTTTGAAAGGAATTTCTGTTGAAAGTTTAATGCTACTCTATAGCAATTCTAAGTTTCTCTTTAACTAACTACCCAATTAACTGTAAAATATCTATTCCCTTTTTTTGTTATTTTTGCAATGATTTTACATTTTTGTAAAAAAAAGTATTAGTTTAAACATTATAGAAAACACATACGTTTAAATTACTTCATTTTTTATCTCAAACAGCTAAATGTAATTTTCTATGAAAATGTTTCATTGTTTTCATGGTATTGCTAAAGAGGCCAAAAATAAGTTATGTAAAAATGTATAGCAATAACATCAAGCTTTTTGATTATGTAATATGCAATACAGTGTTCCTTTAGTTGGAATCCACGGTTGGAATTAATTTTCCGTATGCTGGGTGGTAGAAGTAAAAAATGTGCATTGTAATTAGCTATCAGTGTTTTTATTTCGAAATAGGAAACTGGTAGCTAGCCTTTCATATTATTAAACAACAGTAGCACCGGCATTGTTATTGTGAATAATATTGACTTTGCATGAAGACTCAGTTGTCTGATATTTCTCACCTAACCCTCGGGCAAAGTCAAGTATAGTAAAAAGCCAAGAGTATACATACATACCAGGTGACTAAAAAGTATGGAACCAAACGTTTTTTGCTTAAACTATTTATTTTTTGAAAAAACTAATTGATGAGTTATAAAGTACTATAAAAATGTGATGGTTTAACAAGAATAAAATTTTTCGAAATTTCCTTTTGTTTTCGAGTTCTACAAAAAAAATATTTTTTTAAATGGCAACCCACTATAAAATCATTTTTCTCATAAAAGCTATACTCTAAGGATTACAACTATCTGCTTTATATTTAATTTTTTCACATAAATTGTAATTTTGACAAAAAAAACGCATAATTTAAAAACAAAACAAAATTTCGTTCTGAAAATACGATCACATTTTTTATATTACTTTAATTTATATTAATTATTATTTTCTGGGGGCAAATGCTTAAAAATAAATCCGCTTGGTTCCATACTTTATATTCACCCTGTATGTAAATGATGTTGGTCTGTTTCTTGTGGCATAGTTTTGTAGGTTTTATGGCATATTCCTCACCTTGATAATGATCAAAATTGGTAGCAGTAATAATCTACCGAGAGAGGAAACAGCTGAAATTTGTGCTTATCCACAACCATCGAAACTGGTTTATGACGATAAAAAGTCAACTAATCAATTAATACCATGTTTTTCATGTCAGTTAATTTGTCCCATTTATATTAACAAAGTTGCGTATTTTTTGTGCCTAACTTGTTGTGTTGTGTGCTTCCTTGTGTCTGCCAATATTGTATGTTATTTCGTTTTCGTGGGCTAAAGCGGGTGTCATTTTCGTTATTGCTTCTCACGAAAATTTCAAATTAACAAATAATCGCATGTTGAGTTTGATTTTTGAGTCGCGCGACTTTTTCCAGATGTAATAATCAGAGAAACTGTTCGGTCGAGGTGAGCAATGAGACTTTCGGTGATCCATGTCCTGGAACAAATAAATATATCGAAGCTCACTATAGATGCGAGGGTAAATTATAAATTTAGTTGTGTGGTGACTTAACAACATACAATATTGTCAGAAACGAGGAAGCATTTAGTTTAATGGTGGTTGTATGTTTAACGGGATGGTTGCCTTAGGTGTACCCATTATCAGAACTGCAGCATCCCGGCGAGCACAAGTATGTTCGGAGATCCTTGTCCTGGCACACACAAATACCTTGAGGCCCATTACCAATGCCTACCTGGTAAGTTAGACCCGACGCATTACTATTTGTTCGACAAGATTCTACTCAAGTTACAACACGCCGACGAATGATACATCTCAATCACACTTTTACACCACCATACAACACACCCATGCTTCCTCGGTTTCGACAAATATTCGATAAATTCGCACTGTTTTACAAAAATTCTAAACGATCAACAATGCAACGCGTTGCTCTGGCCACTCGTGGGCTAAGAAAACATACACAAACTCCCTTTTTTGCCTCGAATGTCGTCATCTCGGGCGGCTGTGAAGAGGTGAAGATCTCTCTGTGTGGCAACGTCTAATTTTCCTGTCAAAATACATGTCAAAATTGCCCATAATTAAAGCAGCAAATTTAAAGTGTGTATCATTAATGTAAATTAATTGAAATTATATACTAGAATTGATGAAAATTATAGCAATACGGCGTGAATTCTCAGAAATTTCATCCTTTTTCGTCACTGGAACCACTAAACTCGCACCTATTTCTATTATAAGTGACTCAATTCGAATTAATTAAAGCATCACTTCAGACCTCAACGGAAGTAAATCATTTTTGAACATTTTATTACTTTCTGAGTTAATTAAGTGGTCCAAATTGAAAAATTCGTTAGAATTATTTGCTCTATTTGTTTATCCATTGATTCTTGTATACTTTAATTGAACAGGGATTGTAATCGGTTTCCAGCCGGAAGCATTAATTAGTAAATGAAATTTGAAATTGTTGAAATTACATTCTAACCTCATAAACTGTTTGCTATTGTTAATTATTTGCAAAACATAAGAACCAATTGTAATTAATTTGAAACCAAAAAGCACAAACAATTTCAGATTATATGTAATTGCTGATTTTTCGCCCTTTAAATGTGATTGTCAGACAAACATACTAGAATACCAAATTCTACAAGATAAATAAAGAGAAAAATATTAGGATGGTAGACGTGGTAGTCGCAAAAAATGTACATTACTAAAACCGTAAACTATATCACTGTTTTCACTATAAAGGTGAGAAAAACTATTTGTTTCTCTTCACACATAAATAACTATTATTCGGATTGGTAGTAGAAGTGTCGTTTTCAATGCACCTGCTTGTACCAGTTTACTAAAACGATAATTCTGCAATAAAATCCGAAAGTCTGTAAACTGCGAAAGCTACTTCAAGAGATTATAAAACCAAAGTGTTTATATTTTTATTGTGGGCAGTTACGGTCTGATTAACAATAAAGCTTTGTATGCTTTTCAAAAGCTCCACAATAAATACAAATATTATTAGTTTGTGTCAATAATTAGTTCGTAAAATCCGAAATTTATTAAGCTCTTGATTTCTACTCAAGGGAGCCAGTTTTATAGTAGAGATAAATTTCGTTTTATGAACCTCTTTTTGATCTGAAGAAAAGTTTATTTATCAAAAAAATAATCTGATAATGCTTTTTTGAATTTCACAATTGTAATAATGAAATTAAAAAAAAATATTTATTTCGTACTAAATTACAAAGGTCGAATTTGCTGATTCAGCGACTAACCTGAAAATAACGACCCTTGTCAATTTCATGATGTAGTTTTTAAATAATGGTATAAGTACCAGAAATATAACTCTTGAAAGTCGGAAAACCTAAAAAAAATGCTAAACTTCTTACCTGTTTTGGAACTTTATAATATAACTTTTTTTTCAAGATATGGTAAACCTCATAGAAACCAAGAAGGATATCGATAGGCGGAGCCAATGCGTACTCGGTGTAGTGGGGAAACTTGAGCAGTGGCGTAACACAGAACCATTCAGTGATAAAAGGGAATTGTAAAGTTGTATTTTTTTTCGTATATTTATTGATTCGGATATTAAATATAAAAAAATCATACGATGCTCCACGATTATTTCAATTATACGGTGATATTAATTTTTGTATAAATAAAAGACGAACAAAAAATAGCGAATAGATTTGCTTATTAAAAATATAAACATACAGTGGCGGACACGGAATTTTGAACATCAAATTTATGTCAGTTCAAAAAATGTCAATGTAAGCCACGCTTTAATGTCGTTATGATTGACGTTTAAAATTAAAATTTGAAAGTTTTAGTTGAAATTTATGTTTGATGTCGATTTTCCGAAACAATAATGTCAGAAATACGTGTTTTTATATAAGTTCAATAAATTGTTTTGTTTTGATTTGTTGTCAATTTTCCTCTAGCTATCAGGATAAAAATTACAAAATCTGAAAGTGAGGTTAGTTGCCTAGCTGTACCTATTTCAAACAATCTGATTTTTCATTTGTCAAATTATCTCATAATCTCATAATGATTACTGAGTATTGCAATTTATAAAAGAACAAATGCTTTAAAAATGTTATTTATTAATAAAGTAACAAAATCAAGATATTTTCATTACTGTACAGTGATGGACAGTGAATTTCGTCCACTCAATCAATTTCCGTGAATTCACAAAAATTCTGTGTAGTCTGTGCTTTATTGTCATGATAACTGACATTCAAATACGTATTGTCAAAATTAATCAAATTAGAACATGTCAGCAGTAAGTGCGTTTAATAAAATAAATAATAAAAATTATCTCCCTGGTACAAGAAGGAACAAAGACGTGTTGCTTGCTACTTTTGGGCATACCAAGGACTATCATTTCAAACGACAAAGGTAAAAAGTAGCAAGGAGTATCGAGCATTCTGTCAGTTATAACAACCGTAAATCAAAATTCTGAAACAAGGTTAGAAAAACCTAAAGAATAATTTACATTTTTAATCTGTCAGGGGAATTGGGTGGACGAAGTTCACTGTACATGGATTATTTGTTTTGTTCAAATCAATAAAATAAATAATAAATAAAATAACTAAGTACGAACACAATACACGCCATTGCTCTCAGCTGATTTCAGAACTCCCCTATATTTACGAATGGATTCGTCCGCGACTAGTTTTCGTCTCTGCGCATCCCATCCTTCGATATCCTTCTTGGTTTCTCTGACCTCTAAACATCCAGAGCTTTTAGCATGGACCATTGTTTTTAAAACAGCGTTTACAATTAAATTAATTTCTTCTTAATACTCATATTTGAAGGTTTTTCCTATTTGTAATGTTTTTAGTGTATACATTTTGTAAAAAATATAATAACACATAGAATGTATATTTTATTTTTCATATGTATTTGGCACTTGGACCATTATTTAATTACACTATGAGAATTATACCGGATGTGTAAAGTAAATAACCGTCGATTTTTACATCAGAACTGTCCCGTGTTTCCATTTTTAAGGTAGAGAAATGTATTGTTGATTGATTTTTGAATTTATCTAAAACTGTGCAGTAGTCATAGTTTAGGCGCTTGTAATTTGTCACATGTAGCAACAACAACGACAACAACAAGCCGGCCGAGCCCTCCCTGGTTGATAACATCTCAGCCCCCAATGTGGAGTACCGTGAAGCCATCAGCACGACCACCTCCTCCCCCTCCCAAAGTGTCGGCAACGCCACCCCCGCGAACAACAACAGTAACATCAACGACGATTACACCTTCCTCAAATCCTTCACCTCCAATCCCTCCAATTATCCCCAGCGATGCTGATAAAGAAGACGAGCCGGAGACTGAAGCAGACTTTGTTAAACCTATCCCTGATGAGATAACAACACTGCCATATACTACAGTAACGCCTAAAAAAGTCACTTGTATGTCATTTGTTTTTTGTTGCGACTGCCACTCATGGTGTTGTTTTAGCCGAAAGTACCTATCCTAATACATATATACCAGCACCAAGTGTACTGCCATCGTGGACCAAAGATTCAGACTCGAGCCGGTGTAGTCCGAAGACATTCCGGAGTATTTTGTGGAATTGGACGAAGGTTAATTCGACAGATATCCAGCCGTGTCCTGGCGGAACCACAGGTTTTGCAAAGTGGCGCTGTATCGAAGTGAATTCGGTTCCAACATGGCACCCGTCAACGCCGGATTTGAGTCAGTGTCGTTCCGTTTGGTTGACCAGTTTAGAGCAGAGGATTATGGCAGGGAGAGACCCTCTAGTTTCGATAACAAACGATTTAGCTCAAGTTACAAGTAGTAAAACCTTGTACGGGGGTGACATGATGATCACTACGAAAATAATCCAAAAGATGGCTCAAAAAATGTCGCAGGACATACAAACGTTCCCTGATACCAGGCAGCGCGAGGCTATAGTTACCGAAATGTTAAATGACGTTGTCAAGACTGGTAGTAATTTATTAGATTCGTCGCAGCATCCGTCATGGCGAGACTTGAGTTATAAAGAACAAATGAGAGTCGCAACGTCTCTCTTGATTGGTTTAGAAGAAAACGCGTTTCTTCTCGCTGATACTGTTACAAGAAAAAAGACTGTTGACCAAATCGTCAAAAACATAAGTAAGTCGCTTGAAATTTGTAAGATTTGAGATTTCAATGTCTTGTTCTAGTGTTATCGGTGCGTGTTTTGGAAACTAAGTCCGTCACCACCGAGGTTTTCCCTTCGGACAACAAGTGGTCTGCGAGCAACGACTCGATCGAGTTGTCGCAAGGAGCCCTTCAAGAAAACAGCGACGGCGGCTTTATTCGATTAGTTTTCGTCGCGTTCGACCGTTTGGAGGAGATTTTACAATGGCAACCTGATTCCTCCGAAAGTAACACTAATGTAACTCGAATGTTAAATAGCAAAGTGATTTCGGCAAGTTTGGGGAAGGGACGTCATATCCAATTGAGAGAGCCGGTTAGATTGACGCTGAGACATTTACAAACTGAAAACGTCAGTAATCCGTCTTGTGTCTTCTGGGACTACACTTCCAGCGCCTGGTTGGAGGAGGGCTGCCGCGTCGAGTTCACAAACAGGTCACATACCGTATGTCTTTGTGACCATTTGACGAATTTCGCCATCCTAATGGACGTTCATGCGATACAACTCCCGATACCACACCAAATCGCCTTGAAAATCATCACTTTAGTTGGCTGTATCATCTCTATTGTATGCCTGATTTTAGCAATAATAACTTTTCAGTTATTTCGCGGCCTCAAGGTAACTATAAGGAAAGTCTTATCAACAAAACTACATATTTGTTAAATTGCAGAGTGACCGAACAACAATACATTGCAACCTATGTATCTGCCTCTTGATCGCCGAACTAATCTTTTTAATCGGTGTAGACCAGACTGACAACAAAATCGTATGCGGTGTTATCGCCGGATTTTTACAATACTTTTTCTTGTGTGCTTTTATATGGATGTTCTTTGAAGGTTTGTCTCTACTTACTCGTAATATTATTGTTCATCGAATTGTCTAGGTTTTCAATTGTACGTGATGCTGATTGAAGTGTTTGAAGCTGAGAAGTCGAGAGTGAAATGGTATTATTTTTTCGCTTATGGATTTCCGTTGGTAATCGTGCTTGTATCAGCGGCAATTTACCCTCAAGGATATGGCACTGAACAACACTGTTGGCTTAAAACGAACAACTATTTTATTTATAGCTTCGTTGGGCCTGTGACTCTAGTGCTTGTGGTAAGTCGAAAAGACATTGCAGTTCCATTCAAATTGTTAATATCGCATTTTATTTTTTTCAGCTGAACCTTATTTTCCTAGCAATGGCTGTTGTCATGATGTGCCGACACGCGACTGCTTCTGTGTCAATTAAAAACAAGGAGCACTCACGTCTAGCAAGTACCAGGTAATTCTAATCACTTATTATTAATTCCTAATTAAATGTATATAATTAATGTTGCACAAATTTGGGCATGGTTTAAACCAACTGTCGTAGGTTTTAACTTTTTGAGTTGATTTTAAAATGTAAGTGGTTATGGTTATAATCAATGTATTTGGTTGGTTTGTGAGGTCGAAGTATTAAAAATGAAAAGTTTGTGGTTTGGTCTTAATTCTAATATAAGTTCTTCTTTCTTGCATGGCGCTCTTATCCTATGGTAGTGGAAAGGAAGAAAATGCACTTCAAACCAAATTTCAAGCTCACTTGTAAGATAATTTTCTTTATTATCTTTCTCGCTGTCAGAGTTAGATTTTAACTTAGGATTGCATGTAGTTGATTAGTTAATTTTAGCATGACTTAATCATTAACGCAAACAATTAATTAAACCAATAATAAAATAATTTGGAAATTTCAGGGCCTGGTTAAAAGGTGCAATAGTCTTGGTATTTCTCCTAGGCTTGACTTGGACCTTTGGTTTCCTATTTATCAACCAGGAGTCAGTCGTGATGGCTTACCTATTTGCGTTGTTAAACTCCCTTCAAGGTTTCTTCATCTTCTCATTCCACTGTGTACAAAACGAGAAGGTTTGTTCTATTCATTTAGAAAAAGAGCTTAGTATAAATCGTTTTGCTAGGTTCGTAAGGAGTATCGCAAGTTTATTCGGCGACATTCCTGGCTGCCGAAATGTTTGCGTTGTTCAAAGCCAGGTGGTGGCGCTGGCAGCAGTAGTGGAAGTTCCGGATTAAACAAAGAGCGAAGGACAAGTATATACGCTGGTTCAAATGGCAACCCATCTGGTACAAATTCGCATTCGACCGATAATTCCGTCTTATCACCACATGGAACTAGTGTGGGTACCAACAATATAGTCATCGCGAATAATCTTAATAACGTGCGTCCTACCGCGCTAGTCCAGGTTCTAACTAGAACCGATCTCAACAATGCTAGTACCACCACTACCAACCACAATCGACTGCACAATGTTTCGCAACAAGGTACTATCCTGCTTTAACCACGCAGCTCTGTCTTGTAGCTTTTCAGTCTTCATCTTCACAAGAACATGCACAACGTGGCCAAATTTCGACTCTTTGGCAAAGTTTTTCACATCTGACCACCAAACAAGAAAACAAAAGTGTTTTTTTTTTGTTTTTTTTTTTTTTTTTGTTTGATACTGGGATGTATGAGAAACCTACTAAAGCTGTAGAAAATGAACCACGTTGTATGTTCTTTGTATCATCAGCGTTTCGGTCGAAAGCCAGTCAAAATTACAATTTAGCATACAAGACAACAGAACAATTAGATTCTATATAAATCGGTAACATCGCGTTTCGGAATAAATTTATTTGTGAAAGTTTAGGCTTTCTTGTAAGTGGTGTAATTTGTAATTGTTGTAATTTTATCGACTGGCTTGTTAATTCTTGTCTGTCATGACTAATAATGTCCACATTGAGCTGCTTACTAACTCGCGTGTGGTGCTGTGGTGGTGCGTGCATTGCGCGCCCCCTCTTGGCATGTTCTCTCCTTTGTTTGGTTTGGTAAGAGTTTGTTTTACTAACGCTTCCTGCTTACTGACGACGATAGGTGAAGGCGCCCTCTGTTACAGTTGCAGCGCGATTGGAACTCCCGGAGTTGCAGCAACGTGAATCGCTGCGGCCGAACACCTGTGTCCACCTCTACTTCGGGCAACACGGCTGCTACTCTGTGTCGCCCACCCCGAGACGGCACACAAACACCCCCACCTATTCTTGAACCTCCAAACACCTCCACGTTACCTTACATTCGTAATTTTTATAAAAACTCCACAATCACTCCAAATTTACCCAAATCGGCCTCCACTTGGGGTCCTCTTCACAAACCCTTACACTGGAAGGTGCGTAGCACACCGCTGCATGGTGACGTTAACCCGGGTCTCCTATTTCTGTTCTTATTCACTTTGCTTGTACTAACCTAAGAATCGAATTGTCGTATTCGCATGCCTAATTGTGGTTTTATTTCGTTACAGAACATTTCTTTTAAGTCATATAGTCGTGATTCGGGTCATGGAGGATCAGAACAAGAGGACTCGCCCAGATCACATCCAATTGTAGCCGATACAAGGCTCAACAATGCCAAAGATGCTCGTCGTCAAGCATACATCTCGTCGGATTGCAATCAAGCTATAGTAGAAAATAACGTTCAGTTAAATTTTCCTGATTACCACCGAAGACATGATACGATACCGCACCCCAAGCATCCCCCTTTGCCTCAAAGTCTGCAACTGCATGGAACTCGTAAAAAAAACGGTAATTTTGCGAAATCGGGGGGTAATCACTGGAGTCACCATACCTATACCGAGATTTACGACGGGAGAACTCCTCGAGGCCTCGCTCCTGAAGATGACCCTGTGTACGAGGAGATTGAGAGGAACGAGATCCAGGTTAGTGATATGAGTGACGAGGATGGGAAGAGGCAGAGTGATATGAGTCGACAATCATCGCGTTCGTACGGGGATCATCGGCCGTTGATCCCGTACAGTCCCGGAACGGACCGGAGCATCCTCGAAGCTGTCAAGAAAGAGCATAGTCGGTATCCGCAAGACGTCGACGGCTACAGGATGAGGCCCAATATATACCGAGGAGACACCGTGCGGTCGCTAGCGGCCGTTTTAGACGGCGAAACAGTTGTGTGCCATTTAGAACCACCCGAGATGTACCCACGTGACCCGTATACGTCCCGAACTCTGGTCCTACCCCAGTATAGTGAGAGTTAGGAAACTGCCATTCGCAAGTGAATATCTGTGATTTACACATGATCAAACTTTTCGGTCATTATATTTAAGTTAGAAAAGCTCAGCTTGATTGAATGAAGGAAAGTGATAATTTTATAGTGAACTATTTTAATAAAGTATTTATGTGAATACGAATGTCTCTTAGATGTGAGTTATTCCAGTCAACTTGTTACGTGTTTTAATTATTTTTTTTACATGTTTTCTTTTTCGTTTTCCATTCCTGGACAATGAGCGGCGATTTTTGATCAAATCGAAATTTTTGTAGCGGTTATTAAGCCATATTTAGCCAGCACATAATGTAAATATAGAAACAATTTCATCTTAATATAGCTCAGCACTTCTCCTACCTTCCAAAACGAATACTTATTTATTTATTATTGTATTTAATTTTTCAGTTGTAAAACATTAACTGTCTTGAAATGATTGTTTTTTCGGATTTAATTAGGAAAAAATGTATTTATGTTAAATTGTATATATTGTATAGAGCTTTGTACATGTTGATTGAATGGTATGATATTAGTCAGGCATAAAATTGTTATTATTGCTATGTCCATTAACACATAGCTAAAATAAACAATACACCATTATACAAAACAATGTATTAAATTTTAAAATTAAATCACAAAGTCTGACCAATAAATTAATTTTCTTGTAGATTTAGAACTTTCACTGCCCAACCCAACTCCTTTCCATCCGTTGTTCAGCATCTAACTGAACTGATATAGCAAATACATCTTGTCAAGAATAAGAAAGAGAATCTCTATAAGAGTGATGACATTCTGTGTGTACTAAAGAGAGAAGCTCGTCTTCCCATCCTTATTTATTTTGCCTACTGCGCACCTGCGACTCAGGGCTTTTCGTATTCTCCACAATGTAATTTGTGCTTTTATTTATACTGAAGTATAGTAACATATGCAACTAACAATACTGTTCTTTTACATTTGTAACCAAGAATTTAACAAAAATCATTTCATTCAAAACAAAAGTGTACATAAATATATTCGTATCAGAGGCACAGAAATAACAAAAAAAAAATACTGTTTGCAAACGTGAATGGAAATTAAGTAAAATAAAATTTTGAATTGAAAATGAATTTATTTGTATATAACAGTTGTTGTAACTAACCAAAATAGCGATATTGTTATTAAACAAAATTGATGAGTTTTTTGGAAATTAAGTAAAATAAAATTTTGTATTGAAAATGAATTTATTTGTATATAACAGTTGTTGTAACTAACCAAAATAGCGATATTGTTATTAAACAAAATAGATGAGTTTTTTTACAAGTTAAACTGTTGACTTAACAAAAGACACTATGCTCCCACTTATGAAACAATATTTTCAATGATCAATTACAAGATCTCTAATAACAGAAATCACATCATTAACAGAATGATTTATTTTTGCATTATAAATTTTTTACAATAGTAACAAACTCAAGAACATGATATTGCTATGTAGTATAGATAAAATAGTTACAGAAACTTTAATTAAAAATTATACATTAAATTCTGTTTCACGTAAGAAGAATATCTATTGAACATTTACCAAAACACCTCATTATGTTTCACGTTTTGTAGTCGATGTTGGCCGCTTACCATTTTCGTACATTACATATAAACTATATTTTAAAAATAAATATAAAGAGAAACGCAATGAACTGTTCTTTAATGAATGAGCAATAAATATTTACAATTCTCTCTGTTCTATTTTTATTCTACTTGATATAATGTATCTGTAAAAAGACACCTTAATAACAACTCACATAAACTGAAAAAAAAACAATTATAGCAGTAAAATTTAAAGTGGGAACAAAATGTGCAAACGTATATTGTGATATCCGTAATTGACAAATTTGTACTACGGACAACATCAATAAAGAAATTCCTAAGCCTTACCTTATAACAATCTACAAATAATACAAGGTCTTCATGTTTAAAAAGCCTGAAGATTTATAGTAAAAAATAGAGAAAAAAAAAAGTAGTACACAGTCAACCATTCCTTTTACACTGTTAATGTTTAATTTTTCTTCTAAAAGATATCATGACCGATATCACACAAACTAATTTATTGTAAATAAAGTTTTTTTTGTTACTACTTAGAAATAAAATAGGACTTAAAGTCACTAGCACAGTTTCATCTGATTAAATACATTTTAGAATGTTTTTTTTTCTCAAAGTAAATAAAAAGTCGGGAATAAACCAAATCCATGGGACTTCATGATGGATTCAAATAAAAAGAAAAAATATATATTTGAAAATTAACCAGCCCCGTAGTTTGTCTCAAGATAATTCACGTCATTGCAGACAAACTTTTTTCATTTAATTCTCATCTTTTTCAAATTTCATTTTCTTACTAAACATAGGACGTTCATCTTGCAAACGCTTTGTTGATTTATTTGTAGTTTGCGAATCTGTAACAAAAACGTCATTCACCACCGCTCTAAAATTACGAATCAGTATTTTACAAACCTTGCAACCACCTAACTTGAGTAGCGGGTCCATATCCTTTATCATTTTTGGCCGCGATTCGAAAAATGATCGCGGCTTTTGTCGAGGTGTCCAAATGGGCAGCCGCCAATGTCGAATTTGGAACCACGCAAGAGTTGTTTGGTCCACAATAGACGCGGACAAAAGCCAGTTGAGCCGGGGGAGTGGCTTTATCCTGCAATCCCAAATAATAAAGTATTCATTCAAAAATTGGTAAAAACTCACTTTTCCGCGAACGGCAAGGTAAACGGAATACTCCAAGATATCACCTTGATTGCTACTAGGGGGCTCCCATGACAAGTGAGCTCCGTCGCCCGATTTAGCGATCTTAATCGCGGAGGGCGCGCCCGGGAAGCCCGGCAGACATGTCTTAAAGGCCGAAACCTATAAACACAAAAAATTAAGGGAAATTTTTCCAATTAATTAATTTACCTCGCTCCAATTTCCAATTCCGACTGAATTAATGGCAGCAACTCTGAATTTGTAAGCCGTGCCTGGTTCGAGCGAAATTCTCTGAAATCCGGTCAAGTCCGGCAAATTTTCAACGGTCAAATCGGACCATTCATCCAACATGAAGTAACTCAAAACGTCACAACTGTTTCCTTTGATGAATCCAACTGTATGCCATTGCTCCTTATTAATCGTTTCTGGTACATTATTCGTATTATCAGTCTTCTTGTTTTCTTTTGAGTGGTCTAAAGCGGCCGAAGCTAAGGCAGATAAGGCATCGCCATCTTCTTTTTTCACTTCGTCGAGTAGAGGCCCTTCTTCACCATCTTGTCGTTCCCCAAATCCAGCCATTTCTTGATTAGTGCCAAAACTCGCACCTAATTCGCCGTCTAGATTCGAAGAATCGAATTTCTCTTCTTGTTCATCCATGCTTTCCTCTTTCACCGACGTTATTTCCATTTTTTCAGCCCCCTCACTCACAGTGCCATTCATTGACGTTGCATCCGTCATATTCTCATCAGTATTTACATCCTCGTTACTTTGATTATGTGTCATTTCAATCGAATCTTTGCTTCCACCTCTCAAACCCATCTTGTAATTGAACGGTTTATACGGCGGCATACGCATCGACCCTCCTTTCAAACCTAAAGTCTGGTTAATTCCATTGTTATCAAACAAGATAGCAGTAGCCTCATCTGCAGTGGACGACTCTGTCGTTGCAGGGGCATCAACGTTGTCCCCTTCCAACTGTCTAATTAAATCCTGTTGAGCCGCTTCTCCTTCATCACTCACTGACGCGTCTTTAGCCGGTTTGGGGTCAATAAGGCCCGCCTCGGCAGCTAAAGCGGCTAATGCAACATCTGTTGTTGCAGGACCATCAAACGATGACGAAGCTAACAAAAAAAAAAAAACAATTCACAATCGCTAAAACACAACAAATACCAACCTATTGTAGCTGTTGGTTGTTTGGGCCTCGAAACAACAACTAGTTTTGGTTGTTCAGCATTGTTCGACGATGCTATTGTCGACGTTACCGGCAAACGCACGATTTTACCCAAACCTTGCTGGGGCTGCATCAAAGTCACTTTGTTACCGCCCGCCATCTGTACAGTCACGGGTTTGCCCCCGATCATAACTTGTTTCTAAAGAATTAATAATTATTATTATTGCCTTTTCATCGACTTTCAAAATCCAGAAAAGAGTAAATAAATGTTTTATACAAAGCCGCGTCCATTTTTTTGAAAACAATAATCACAAGTGTTCTTTATAGCAGAATAATAATAAAAGGTGACTTCCTGTACAAAATGGCAATGTTAGTTATACTTATGAACTAATTATACAGGGTGAGTCTTAACTTATACGCAAAATTTTAAGGTATGAATGAATATGATAACGCCACGCCTGTCAATAGCTATGTGTATCGATTTTCTTTATTTAGGTGATGTTAATTGGTATTTTTATTCACATTTGACAAAAATAAAAGTTTTATGTAACTTATTTTTCATTTTTTCACTTATTATATATCGTAACCTTTTATTCCCAAAGAGTTATAAACAATTATGAAACTTGTAACTTGTATTGGTGGAAACTTTGCACAAATAAAACTTTAAATAATTTTATTTTTAAAAAGATGACCATAAGTAAGATTTATTTTTTAAAAACACATTATACAGAGTACGCCAGAACTCACGCCCCAGAGAAAAATGTAAGGTAAGATACCAAGAACATGGAAAAAATGTTTAAAAAATTCTATCTATAAAACTTTCGAAGTTATGAGAGTTTAAATTTTACAACTTGACTCTATTTATTTCTGTTGGTAAAATAATTTTCCAAATTTTGTTGTTGTAGGGTATTAAAAGAGGAAACAAAGAGGAAACAAGGAAGCTGTATCCTAAATTGTAACTCTGTTCAATGTTATTTGTGGCTTTTATTGGCAAAATTTTTGTACCTTTACTAAATAATTATAAAAAACATATACAAGAACATCATTAAATAAACATAAAAAATGTCAAATGTCAAAAAATAAATGTCAAAATTTTTTGACAGGTAGAATTTTTAAACATTTTGTCCACGTTTCTTGTATCTTATCTTAGTTGAAATTTTTCTCTGGAGCGCGAATTCTGACACATCCTGTATAAAGAAAAAAAAACAATATTTCTGTAAATGCGTGAAGGGTATTCCAAAATATTGATTCATGTTGTTATGGTCACGGCCTTATATTGTCGGTTTTTGAGCTACTTACGGTGTTTTTGGAGATGGTGAGCGTCTTGGGCGAGCCGACAACGGTCATGGGCATAGATAACGTGATCGGTTTGCCGATTTTGACTCCTTGTAGTCCGGTTATAGCCGACGAAGATGCGATCGGTTGTACATTGACCGTTGTTGATTTGACAACAGGAACGGTTTGCGCACTTGTGACGGATTGCATGGTTCTAATACCGCTACTTGAACTGACGACTATAACTTGTTGGTTATTTATGGTCGGTATTTGTCCAGCACCTTTCGACAGCATTAATTTTCCGGTCGCTTTATTCATTTGTATTAAATTCGATGGTATAGCTTTGACTGTCGTTAATACTTTACTCGAGGGATTACTCGGCATAATTTTAACGATAGTATTTTTAGGTTGTTGGGGTGTTTTGTTCTGAACGATATTTCCGGCTTTTGGTAATGTCGCGAGTGTCATTCCCGTACTGGTTTTGACGAGTGTTACAACTTGCTGTTGTACGCCACTTTTCTGTATAATACTGCTGCCTTTTTGAACGATCAAAGGTTTACCGGTCACCTGTGATGTCTGTCTTATAATCGGACCCGTTGTGCCTTGGACCCGTACATTTGGCGATGCTGAAATAGATTATTTTATGTAAGTTTCGAAATGAAATCGCAGGTTTATGATAATCACCAATTTTGATTTGAGTTGTTTGTGGGGCAACAGTTATTTTTTGGGTAGCAGCAGCAGCTGCAGCTAGTGCCTGAATGCCTGACAACGTACTAGCTTTTGTAGGATCAGTATTCATGGCACTCTGTGGAGGTGCAATTAAGAGTGGAGCACATGCTGATGTATTTTTCACCGCATTTCGAACTATAAATAATAAGAACACTGGTTATTTCAAATACAAAAAGAAATAATAAAAACAAACGAGTTTTACCAAATAAAGAAAAACCAATTATCACTACCTCTCAAGTTAATTAAATCTGAATTATATAATTTAAAACCTGACTTCAAATAAATAAACAGATTTACAACTTGCTTTCAGGTAAATCAAATTGACTCTCTTCACGTAATAAAACTACTCGATCTAAAATTAAATAATAATAGTAATAATAATAAATACGGTTGCATCATAGACATAAACAAATCAAAACAACAGGCACTAAAAATAAAAATTCGTTCCGGTATTTTTGTGTACATAAACTCCAAAATACAGGTGTCCCAAACACTGACCTACAGACCAATATTTCAACCAAAAACAACCAAATTTGTTATTTGTTGGCACGACATTAGTCTGTCACGAAACCGATCGAAAAATTCCCAATTTGGGACTTCAAGACCAGACTATATCCCCACAACACGTGTCGCCAAATCAATGATTATTTTCACTATTATGTGATCATTATTACCTTTGATTTGTGTTTTAGGTGGACTTCCAATTGGATTTGTTTGGACGACTTGTTTCGGTTGAGTCACTGCTGGTGCAACTTTAGCCATTGGTGTTGGTTTAGCTGATGCCAATAATGGAGGCACTGCAGGCACATGTTTGACTGTGGTATTTGCAGGTATAGACTTAGCAGCAGTATTTGTTGTAGGGGAAGGCGTCGGCAAATCATACTTTTGTATCTATTTCCCAAACATTTTTTTAAAAATAGTATCAAACAAACGAAATATTAACACACCTGTAGAATATACATCTGAACGCTCGGCGAACCATTCCAATTGACTTCTAAAGAATGGGTTCCAGCTTTCACGAGAGAGACTCTGCTAGGAGGTGAGGGCCGATCTACTTCCAAAAACCACATATCTTTACAACACACCTGTATAAAATGTATTAAAAATTGTTTGCGGAGATGAATAAGGAAAGAGTTAAACCTGGTTTTTCCAAGCTTTTCGATATCCATCACGCCCAGACCATATGTAAAGTCGCGTGTTCACACCGACGGAACAGTGGCCGGCGCGAGCGCATGGCACGTTTTCTTCACTTGTGTCAATATTCAGCTGTTCCCAACTCATAGTTTCTATGTAAAAAATCAAATTAAAAAATTCTGTGCTTAAAACAGAACTGCTATTGTTTTTACCTAAATTAAGACAGGCCATGGTACTCGTACACTTCCATTCCTTTTCGTTTGTGGAGGTTTTCACGTCGTCGGCGACTACTGGTACCCATCCTCCAAAAACGAACATTCTATGTCCGATCAAGGTCGAAGTATGTAACGACCTTGGTAACGGCGTCGTTCCAGATATCTGCGGCTTACTCCAAGTGCGTGTTTCAGTTTCGAGGAACCACAAATCACCTAATCGGCAACCGCTCATACCGCCATAGATAACCAAAAACGATTTGTTGTTCTTCTTATCAATATAGGCGACACCCGTATGAGATTCTCTTGGTGGTGGCGATGAGCCACTGGTTATAGGAATGTCCCACTGTACGGGAGTCGTACGTATATCCAACGTGTATAAATCATTCAAGTATCTCGGCACGTTATTTTTTGGATCGGCACTATCGTTTGCTAAACCACCGAATAAGTAGACTTTGTTATTTACGAGGGTGAAACTATGACCCAGACGAGGACACGGAGCAGGACCGGATTTAGGAGGCTTGGGTTTTAGGCGACGCCATTCCCATTTTGATGCCTATTTCAGAGAAGAAAATGAGAAAAAAATGTAACAAGTAGCTCAACAAAATACCTGTAGCTCGTACAATTCGTTGCTGTATTTTCCATACTCGACCATACCACCAAAAACCAAGAGGCGAGTGCCATCAACCACAAAACCATATGCTGCACATCCTGGAGGAACGTCACCTTTGGTCATAGGCACGAACCACTGGTTGGTTGCTAAAGAACAACAACAAATAATAATCAAATTAAATCATTTTAGCTAAATTGTGGATTTCTTTTATACCAAGCTGACTTTTTTATACAAAGAATAAAATAATATACAAGTGTGTCAGAACTCGCGCCCCAAAAAAAAATTTCAAATAAATATTGAAATACTGAAAATTTACAATACTGTCGTATAACTTAATTAGTGAATTAGGGTTGGGGTACAGAGACATTAGACCCTTCACGAATTTAGAAATCGGTCTCGTTTGTATTTATTCTATGTACAACCCATCATAAATAAGTAAGGAGACTTTTATGGATATAGGGATTTAAGTTGACAGAAGTTAATATCTCCAACAATAAGAATAATTCAAAATTCAATCGCGATTTCTGGCGCTCCTAATCAAGATACACGTTTGGCGCAATGATATGATTTGTTCATCTTTTTGAGACCCGTCGATTGATATAAAAATTATCCAATTTGAGTGGTCCTTAAATTCCCATATAAAGTGTGCCTTGTCCTTTTGCCAATAAAAACCAGAAATAACATTAAGCAAAGTTACAATTTAGGATAGAGCTTCCTTGTTTCATTTTCTAATAGCTTGTAGTAAAAAAACTTGGAAAACTATTTTTCCAACAGAAATACATAGTGACAGTGCAATATTTAAATTCTCATAACTTTGAAATTTTTATAGATAATTTTTTTACATTTTTTCCATGTTCCTGGTATCGTACCTTACATGGCATTTTTCTCTAGGGCGCGAGTTCTGGCGCACCCTGTATTTTTATCAGCTACACTTGAACGATTCAAACAAAGAAAAACTGCATGGCTTTTATTGTGATGAGATTGTTCGAAAAAACGATAATTACTAATGAAATAATACACTAATTAAAACCCACAACAGGCGATTTTCATTCATTTTTGTACTTATCACGTCAAGTAACACAACGGTATTTTTTTGAAGGCCTAAAAGTGAAATAATTATTAAATAATTGATACATATTTCCGGTAAAAAACAAGTTATTTTCATATAAGACTATTAATTAATATTTATGATGGAACGTACGGTTCACGCTTACCTTTTGTTATTGTCACTTTCCGTAGCCATTTTTTAACAATCAAATAAAAAAATGGGTTCAACAGTCACCTTGACTCTCCCCAAAATAACAATTAAAGAAACAAACGCTTCAACTTTCAAAGTTGAAGTTAAATGAACTGGAAAATCGGATATGCAAGAATGACATTAAACGCTTATCAGTTTCCGCATTTTCATAAAAATTTACAAAGTGAAAACTTTGTATTACGATTTTTTTATAACCACGCATTAATTTATTACCCATTCATAAAAATTTAAAAAAGTACAAAACTTGACACACTTTTATATAAATGAATTTTTATCAAAAAAGATAAACAAAATGTTTAGAGCTCAGTAAAAAAAACTGTAAAAACATCACGCGTAGAAAACTAAATAAAAAAATCCGTTAATTAAAATTTTATAAAGGGTGTACCTGTAATTTAAACTTATTTATTATTTATGAAATCTAAAAATCAATAGTGTTAGTCAGCAGAACTCTTCATTTTGCTTTCATAAAATTCAATTACTATTTAATTTAATTGCGTAAAAAAAATAATTTCTGTTCATTAATTTATTTTATTTCTGTGACAATTAACCGTATTGACAATTTTTCAAAAACGTGATTTTTGAATCAAACGCAACCATAACAACACAGCAACAACTAGTGACGTAATGACAGTCATGTGTCAAATTTAAAAAAAAGCGCCTTGTTGGATTAACTTGTCACCGACAGCATTTTTTTTAAATTTCTAAATGTTCAACAAAACTAGGTTAAATTTCTTTAAAGTGGTGCATCATGAGTTTCATGAGGTTATGACAATGGGAGGGAAAGTGTTAAGTTGGCGAATTTAACCTTTTAGAAGTGACGAAACAGCATGAATGAAAGTTGCGGTAAAAAAATCGCGTTATTAGAAACTCGCAAAAACTTTTGAAAAATCTCAGTCCGGTCCCTGTAGAATGTTGTTGTTTGACGGCCATGTTTGTTTTCGAACCAAACAATCCCGAAAAAAGCGACATTTGAAATTTTGAAAGAGAAAAGTTACATGCTGGCCAGCGGGGTTGATTACTGAGAGGCTAAGGCGAGATTGGGCCCCCGAAGCCGCTCTGGGGGGTAAATATAAATAACAACAATCCCCGCGCCATATTTATCGGTCTAAAGCTCGCATACCCGTGTTATAAACATGGAGTTCGTCGACGATTCCTTCGTTGCCGCCGCCGAAAACTACCATTAAATCCTTGATTGCGACTGCCCGATGTCCGTGTCTTGGCCGAGGTTGAGGGCCAGTGGTATTAGCCACACATTTCCACTGTAACGCCTTACCCGCCATTACGTGATCACATTGCACATAACCATCCACAAAGCCAATCGCAGCAAGTTTGCAAATTCAAACGTGGACAGAGCCGAAAACGGCCACACGGGACACTCTTAACTTCACTCACTGTCCCAAGTCTATCTTCATATACAACACTTAAGAAGTCAAAGTTTTAGAAAGTCTAAGAAAATAACTCCGCTTTACCAACTTTAGCGGCAAAACCATCGAAAAGGTTTTCGTCAAATCGGCTAAGAACGAACGCGTAGAAACACTCTGCCGGTAAAACAGAACATGTCATTTGTGAGCGCCATCTACCAGTAGACGCCAACAACAAAACTAGAACTCTAACTAAAGCACAACAATTGTTAAAATAATAAACAAAAAAATACCCACGCACTTAAATGTGACAATGTCTTAAAACTCTAAATTGCTTATAATGAAATAAGTAATAAAAACTGTAAAAAAAATGTAAGATGTATTGGTTGTGCCTACAGCGCTCTCTTCTGACTTTTACTAAAGGTAACATTTTACAGAAAACACTTGATTGCTCCAGTTGCGGACGGATCCATTAGAAGGAAATTAGGGGAGAAGTATCCAAAAACAGGAACGTACTAAAGTCATTTCTCGACTGAAATACTTCAATAAAATGTAATAAAAGCTCTATAAAATTTATTTTAGTGGACTAAACTCTTTTGTGCATTGTTTTCCGCCTTTTAAAGGATTATTTGTTGTTTTTTTTTCAAATATTATTTTTTTTGAAGTGGAGAATCACTCACAATGGAACACTTACTGCAGAACATGTAAAAATTGTGCAATTAGTTTCTCTGTCAAAATAATAATAAACCCATTTTTATCAGTTGTCAAATAAATAAAAACAAAACAATACAATCTTTTGAGTAAACTTGTATCAAAACAAAAAATATTCTCCTTTTGATTTTAAAATATTTAAACTGTTCTTCTACTTTTGTTTTAAATAATTCATTCGTTATTAAAAATGACATGTTTGACAAACAATACATATCCAGTGAAAATCTATTATTTCATACTACAAATACATTTGTTGAAAATGTTGCATAATGAAGTTTTACAAATTAGCCTTAGCTTTTTTCATTTGAGGTGCTTAGTAAGCCTAATTAAAACGAAAGCATTCTTTTTAAAACAAATACTTAATGAGAAATTATAAAACCAACGTAAGCCAATAATCGATTTGTATAAGTGGTACTTTAACTCAAAATAAAAATCTGGTGCTGAAACTTGGACTACAGTTTAGCAATTAACTGATTTTTTATTTGAAATCTTGCACGTCACAGTTTTAGATAAAGGGCCATGAAACTATTTCCTTTTCATCTAAAATGTGTTTTTGATGTTTTACATAATAAAACTCAAATTTACGAAATCATTTATTAGTAAGTAATAAACATGGAAATGTCAAACTGAGGAATTATTCTATAAAATCACAAGTTATAAAATAAAATATCTTTAAAACTCCAAATTTATTGAAAACTGAACATATAAAATGAATAAACGGAGTTTAAACTTATTTCTTCTTGGCAGCTTTTTCTGCAGCCTTTGTGACTTTCCCAGCACCAGCATCCTTGAAGTTGACGCTCTTGATGACACCTACAGCAACAGTTTGCCTCATATCACGTACAGCAAACCGTCCCAATGGCGGGAATTCCTGGAATGATTCGACGCACATGGGTTTCGATGGTACCAAAGTGACAATAGCAGCGTCTCCAGACTTGATAGCTTTGGGATTCTCTTCAGTGGTCTTGCCAGAACGACGGTCGACTTTCTCTTTGATTTCGGCGAATTTGCAAGCGATATGAGCGGTGTGACAGTCAAGAACGGGAGTGTAACCGTTTGAAATTTGGCCAGGGTGGTTCAAGACGATAACTTGAGCCAAGAAATCAGCTGCGCCCTTCGGGGGGTTGCTCTTAGAGTCACCGGCAACGTAGCCACGACGCAATTCTTTGACGGAGACGTTCTTCACGTTGAAACCAACGTTGTCACCAGGGACGGCTTCCGGGAGAGCTTCGTGGTGCATTTCAACAGATTTTACTTCAGTAGTGATGTTAGCAGGAGCGAAGACTACCACCATGCCGGGTTTCAAAACACCGGTTTCGACTCGGCCGACAGGTACTGTTCCAATACCGCCGATCTTGTACACGTCCTGTAACAAACATTTTTTAAATAACATTCTAAGTAATGTCAACAAATGATCAGTTAGGAAAAAGTTCAGAAAAGATTAAGCCTTTAAACACTCATAGTTATCATGTTTTTAAGGTAAACATCATTAAATCGGCTCAAGGCATATAATAAGGGACAGGCTTACGTACCTGGAGTGGAAGACGAAGTGGTTTGTCAGTGGGACGCGTTGGTGGGAGGATGGCATCAAGAGCTTCAATCAAGCATTTTCCTTCAGCTTTGCCCTCTTTACGTTCAATGTTCCATCCCTTGAACCACGGCATTTTGGTTGAGGGTTCCAACATGTTGTCCCCATGCCATCCAGAGATGGGTACGAAGGCAACAGCGGCTGGGTTATAACCGATCTTCTTGATGTAGGAAGATACTTCCTTTTTGATTTCTTCATATCTAGCTTCGCTGTATGGTGGTTCAGTGGAATCCATTTTGTTCACACCAACAATCAATTGTTTTACTCCCAAAGTAAAAGCCAAAAGGGCGTGTTCACGGGTTTGTCCGTTCTTGGAGATACCGGCTTCGAATTCACCAGTACCAGCAGCCACAATCAAAACGGCACAATCAGCTTGCGATGTTCCAGTGATCATGTTTTTGATGAAATCTCTGTGACCGGGAGCGTCAATGATAGTAACGTAATATTTGGAAGTTTCGAATTTCCACAAAGCGATATCGATGGTAATACCACGTTCACGCTCGGCTTTCAATTTGTCCAAAACCCAGGCATATTTGAACGAACCCTTGCCCATTTCCTGGGCTTCTTTCTCAAATTTCTCAATAGTACGCTTATCGATGCCACCGCATTTGTAGATCAAGTGGCCAGTGGTGGTAGATTTACCAGAATCTACGTGGCCGATAACGACAATATTGATATGAGTCTTTTCTTTACCCATTTTGGTCCAACCTGCAAAAATTATGCCATCAACAAATGACTAACGGCCGATTTAAAATCGAAGTAACATCACGTGGAATCCACTACCAACCCCACGCAAAAAAAGCACGATAAATACAGAAAAAAACGACCAAAAATAAAAATATTCGCGACTTAATCTAATTAATTCACATGTTGCAACTTTGTAACATGACCGCTATCCAACAGGTTGACCGACACGGCGATGACTCTTAAATTCTTAACGAAATACGCAATTTCCGGTAGAAAAACCTCGAAAAAATTAAAATCGGTGATCAAAATTAGGGAAAAGTCGCTTTAATCTGATCAAAATTCCATTATAATCGTCGCAATTGCCTTAAATTAAAATTTCAGCATATGGCGGACATGACCGGAATGCATCTGTACACGTGGTGGTGCGCCGTTTTCGGTAAAAATTCCGTTAAAACTTCAGTAAAAAGGACCTAAACCACTGCAGAATTAATGCAAATAAAAAGTACTCACCGTTTGGAATGAAATAAATGCAATAAAATACCTAAAAAATAGGAACACTAATTTACAACTTAACGAAGCGGCGACTACACCGAACGACGAGCAAGTCAAAAAGGAAGAGGCCCACAAGTTGCGCTCTTTTCTTTCCCCCCCACGCACTGTGTGCTGATGACGTAGCGGAACTACTGCATAAATCGACGAGTGACTGTTTTGAATTTACGCGCGAGAAAAAACTTAATTACCTTGCAATATACAATCTTTGAGTTTTAGAGATTTAAAACATAGAGTTGGGTTAACTAATATTTAAAATAATTGTAAAAATAATTTGAATTCATTGCCGGTATTCGCAGAATGTTTTAAATGACAAAGAAACTGAATTTTATTTTTACCAGAATTTCATAAATTAATTATAAAATATTCAGAGGAATTTAACTTAAGTCGGTTAATGTAAAGATTTATAAAATGTTTTAGTGTGTAGGCACGAAAGTAAAAAACGTTATGGTATGCTGACTTTTATTTTTGGTCTCTCAAAATAAACGTGACCATTGTCAGTGAACCAATGTCAAAATTGAATTTTTAATTTTTTAATATATGTGATAAATTACGTTTTTGAGAAACTTTGAAATAACGTAAATTACGTACCTTAAAAGTTAATACTGATCTAATCTCTTTATTAATAATATTAATAATATTTCGAATATATTTTAATAATTTTTAAAAATATGTATATTTATTAATCGTGCCGATGAAACAATGTAACATTTATTTGTAAACACATTTTTCATTATTATTAAAATACTTCAGTTAAAAAAAACTGGTTTAACTCAAACTTAAAAAAATAATTAATGTTATTATTAATCATATAATAATAAATTGAAACTAAGACACCAAAGATTTTCTTATCAATACAGTGTGTTCCCGCATAGGTAAAAGATTAAAAAAATCGAATTAAATTTTTATTTTTTAGGGTTTAGCTCTGCTTTCATATTGCCACAAAAAAGGCACTTTACAGGAAAATAGGTTTTCTGAAAATTTCCAAAACATACTTAATTTTACAAAACTAAAATTATGCTAGAAATTAGTCTTTAACCAAGTAAGGCTGAGCAAAAAATAAAAATTTAAATCGAATTTTTTTTATCTTTAACAAGAGTCGTTTCGCTTATCTGGGGACTCGCTGTATATGCAAATGTAAATTAAAAAATTCACCCTAATTATTGCTATTGGTTATCGGTTGAAACAATTTACTAAAAACAAGTAAAAATGTCAAGTGTTTGCCATAAAAATGATTAAATATACAAAATTTTGATAGACACTAATCGGTTTGTGGAGTGTTGAAAATATATGAATTATGGTTAAATGTGTTGCAATAATAAGAAACAATAATGGGTGTAATTTACCGACTCGACAGAAAGTAAGGGTACTCTAACAACAAAAAAGATGTTTAAAATGGCCACAAAATTTTTGCACGACACAAAAAGTTATTCCACGGCAACAGATTGTTTATCACACTACAAAAATGTACATATTATATTCAACAACGAGAAAAGATTTTCTACGACAATATTGCACTGAACAGCAAGTTGTAAACGATGGAAATATATAAATTAACGACAACTTTAACTTTAAACAAAATTAGTGAAATATAAAATTTAAGAAATGAATTAATTTATTGTTTTTAGTACATCACAGTTTGGTAGAAATGTAGGGCCCCTTTGCATAAAAATATTAAATCAATAATTATAAAAATTAATAATTAATAATAATGTGTATGCCTCTTGTACAAGAATAACAATCTTACCTCATCTGCCCTTATTTAACCTAAACAGGTCTAAGACGCTCCTGTAAGAAAATTCTTAAATTATTGTTAATTTTTCCTTTTGTTACCGATAAATTTTTTACTGTCGTACATTGTCTTATTCTGTCGTGCAGTGTCATTTTCTGTTGTTCTGGTAAATTTTATTTGTTGTAAGTTTAATTACTTTTGTCGTGCAAAGGCTGTCCTCTGGCGTGAATAAGATTATAGGTATCTAGTTGATGTGGATTTATGCTATATTATGTTTGATTTCTTGTAGGACAAAAGACCTATTAGGTATGTCGTGCCCACATACAGAGTGAGTCTGCTGAGAATAATTTTTTTAACTTTAAATCAAAATCTAATTGGGACAAAAAAATCAGCGTTTGCTTGTGAGTTATTGACGACAAAATTTTTGACTTGACCTGACCTGACCAAATATCAAGCCCTTCTACGTCAGCCCTAGGGCCCTCTCTTAACAATCTGAACCGCCTACTGAATTATCTTCTGGAATTACATCAAACCTCGCATCTTGCATCAAACATTATTGATAAAAATAATGAATTTTTCCTATGTCAATACTGCGACAAAAGTCAAAATGCTCTCCCTAGGGAGAGAAATGAGCTTAACGACGTCAGCAAATATTTACTTCTCTTACTAAGTCATTCCCATTCTAAAATATTTCTTATCGTCATAAGAAATGCCTTGATTTAATTCGAGAATGAAACATTTATTATAGGTACAGTACTTATTAAAAGTAACATTAGTAAGAAAATCTGGTACAGCAACTTCATTTTGCACTGGACTATAACTCTTACAGTTTACCACGATATAGGCACTTAAAATATAATAATACAATATATAATATATAAGTGTATCGTGCATTTTACCAGTAAATTTTGATGAATTTTGCACTGCAAAAGATGAACTCTCTTGTGCCCTTGCAAGATTTTGTTTGAAATGATTTTCGATCTCGAATCTCGAATGTATAACGTCTTTTAGAAATGACAATAATTTAGGATATTTTTTCATGTCGTATTGTCGTTGACTAGTAGAATGAAATAATCGAATCATATAAAGACAACGATTTATTTTTTTGTCGAAAGTTGTTCAAAATACTCGAAATAAGCCAACGACATTACATTCTGCGTATAACTTTTTACTTGCTTCTTTAGAACAGTAATTTTTAAATGACATTGTATAATCTCCCAGATTTATTCGGAACTAAATTTTGCATTGCTTTGGAAGCTGCATAGCTAATTTCTTGCAGTTTAATACACATGTTTCTACTGAGTTTTACAAAAATGTTTGTTGTTAACTCGTTTTTATCGTTGCCCTGATATATGATTTCAAAGAATGTTAATTTTTAAATTTTATCAAAAAATTACAGCCAATTTCTTATATTTTTTTAACTCAAGGTACATCATTGGAGAGTAATGTTATTATTCCGTTGATGCTCTATAGCCCTCGGGACCCCGGCTTTGCCCTCAGCCACCTCAGGAATAATCGTGTATTTTTCTCTCTTTATGTATGATATGCTATTACATATTTGTCATGCAGTAGCATTAGCATTAATATTTCTTAAAAGTAATCATAAAAATTTGCCAAATTCAAGATTATTTTTTAAATATGTGAATAAATTCTCTATGGTGTTTAATTCATATTGATTCTCAAAAAATGACCTTGTTTTGTTCAGTAAACGCGAACTAAAGTATCAACTTTAGTTTTTTTTTTCTGTATAGGTTAAAAGAGTTTATTTTTCTTAAGATTTATTTAAGAGTCCAAAAACTTCAATACTTAATTTTTTTAAGTTTTTGTAGTTTTTTAACCCGAAATATAAAGTAAGGTAGACTGGATACGGTTAAAACAAAGGACGGTAGAAACAGAGCTAATATTTCTGGTACCGTTTGGGGTAAGAAAGGGCTGCAAGGGCCGAATTTAAAATTGTGCTGGCCCACCCTTTGGCCCGCCTGCTTCAAAACAAAAAAAAAAGATAAAATTTTCTAAAAAAATTAAATTTATTACTGTTTATACAACTTTAACATACTTTTTTTTAAAGAAGTAGGTATCATTTATCGAACCACTTTTCACTAACATTAAATTTTAAAAAACATTTTTGCTTGTTTTTAAAATATTGTGCCTATTGATATCCGGTTTTATCGTAACATAAATGGGTTTTACTTAGCCCACCTTAAAAAACTTTGGACCTATCGTGGCCCACCCAAATATGAGGGCCTAGTTCCGTGTCTGCTTGGAGGACAGGAAAAGGGCAGGCATTTGAAAGTACGCAAGGGGGAGAGCTTTTGAATCGAGTTCAATCCCCTCTGTACTTATAAAATAAACTACTTTTCTTGAGAATTAGGGTTTTTCATAATTATGTATTAAAAATACATTTCACCTATTTTAATTGTGTAGCCTAAAATTCACAGTTTGGCAAATAAAAATTGTTTAAAACTGACTCATGCTTACAAGTTAAAGCAATATTGTAATTATTTTACACATGTTTATCATGTATCGTATATTTTATGGGAATGTTTAATGTAATGCGCACCGCTACAGCAATCTCTTTGATAATAAGAAAAAAATAGATATCAGAAATCAGATATTATTCAACTTGAAATTTTTCATTTCATCGGCATTTATTGTAATCTGCAAACCTTTACATTAATTACTTTTATGGCCATTAAATATCAGCGTATTATTTAAAGTTGATTCATGTATTCATTATTGTTACATATTTTTTAACCATCGTGTACTCATGTACCTATGACAAATTAATAAAACTAATTTCTTTACATTTAACAATAAATGTATTTATCACGCTATTGTTTTACTGGGAAAAATTCCGCTGAAACAAAATACCAGATTGTGATTTGTAGTGAATAAATCGAAAAATGTGTATAGTCTTGCCGTATTTTATTTTCAACAAACACAAAATATTTCCTGGTACCGCGCGTTTGAGTCGAGCTCCCCAACACAATTTCCAGGAATCTCTACTAGCACAAAGGGAATACCAAGTTTTTTGCTAAAAATACGAATAACGCTTTTATAAATATAAAACTCGTGTTTTTGTTTGAAGCAAACAATTGTGCCGCTGAAAATAATGAGAATTGTTTTTTGAGGTAATTAAAACACTGTATTAAAATAATATCGTCTTTATTAAAACGTAGAAAATAAGTTTAAACACAAAATACGAACCTAAAACAAGGTACGAAACTTTGGTTCATTTCTGAAAACCAAATATTGCTGAGTGATACAATCTAGAAACTGATCTAACTTATCCGTTTTACCTTTAAATAATCTAAAATAGTACAAAATGCTTAGCATCAGTTAAGTTCCTACTTATTTACTTTTCACAGTAGTTTTTGACTGAGATCAATATAATATGGTTGCTCAATTAAAACAAAAACCAAGGCACTTTGAATTTGGGCATTTCAAAATCAAATTATCAAAATATAATTTCTGGTGTATAAAAGGCACACGAATGTCAACATTCGGATCATTATCAATCAACATATCAATATATTAAAATTAGAAAATAAAACATATACTTGTATATCGAATCTTATTGCAATATAAATAAGTCTTTTCAGCATCCATAAAAAATCATACAAGCGTCGCGGTGGATTTGCCCTTAGAAGTTCCACTCCCGTTACTCTCAATTTGTAGTTTTTGATTTTTGTACCAGGCGTTCATTTCATCGGAGAACCGTTCAGCAACATTCTGACTGAGATCAAAACTCGAATTGACGGAATTGTCCAAACGCGGCCTAAAATTAAAAAAATAAACCACCAACAGATAACGCCCGATCCACTTACGATCCGGGACTAAAATTATGATTCTTCACCGACTTGTCAAAGGCTTCGTTCAAATTCTTCTGAAAAGGTGCCCCACTCTGCGACTTTTTCAAAGTATCTTCTTGCTGCTTCTGGGGTGATTTTTTAAATTTTGCCGAATATTTGTAATAGTCGGACATTTCAAACGGCTTGGTTTCCTCATGGTACGGCTTGTAGTGACCGGCTTGAACGATCGTACAGTTTTTAGGAATATTATTATTAAATAATTCTATATTTGTTTCAGGTATTCGTAGGGACGGATTTGATTCGGCTGGTATTTCTAGAGGCGGTTTAGAAGCTTGTGGGGGCGGGATGGGCTGTGGAGGGCTCACTATGTACTTTTCTTCGGGGGATAATACGGAAGGTAGCGCCGATTGTGACCTCGAGATGACGGAGTGAGTAGGAGAGACCGGGCCATCGAGGAACGTTTCCATCCTACAACACCAATATGTGATGTGATCAACACTAAACTTGTCTCCGATTTTTCTAATTTTTTTGTTTTTTTTATATACATGGGTAGTCTTGAACTAATAAATAAAATTTTATGGGGCGTTAGATCATGACACACAGAACAACAAAGTCTTAATAAATTTTTTCGTAACTCGCATCTTGACTGAGAAAAAAATACAACTTTCTTTAAACTGGTTGTGCACACAGTATCTAAAAATCTGGTGTGAACATCACACGACTTTCCTTATCCTACTGATTTGGAAAACAACCTTACAACAATAATTTAGTGTTGGAAATCCGAGTCGCAAACCTAACGGTTGCGTTAGTACCACCTGCCGGATTAGACGCGAAACATATGATAGTTGTCTGGGGTGCATTTTTTTTAGTTCGGTACCCATTATTATTTTTATTTTATCACATTTTACTGTTTAATACGGTACATTTCTTGATTCTTGTTCAATTTCTACGTTGCATATTAATGTGTAATTAAAAAAATCTAAGCGTATTTCGTAAAAATTTGACATTACAAAAAAGTTGTTTAAAAAATCAAAAACACAATTACAATTAGAAACTTTCTGACAGCAAGTTAAGAGTTAGTTTTTCTCTATTTTCTCTCTAGTTTTGTTCTTATAGGGTTATTCATAAATATGAAGCAATATTTGAACCTTAAAAATGACCTATAAAATAATGTTAATTTAAATAATAACTCGTGTCCTATCTCTACTGATAAGAATTTTACAGCCCTCGGAATGTGGGTATGAAAAATTGTTTTTTTTAATAACTTTGGAACCATTTGACCAGATATTATAAAATTTGGAATAGTTACTTGCGAGAACATACCTTTTAAACTAGTAATCAAGAAAACCATTCAAAATGTATACTTTTTGCTTTCAGTATTGTGTAGTTCTCACTTTAAATTAAAATATCTTTAAAACGGTCCATTTTAGGGATATTAAAAGTTATGCGTTTTTTATTCAAAATTGATTACTCTATCAATTTAAGCAACACGAAACGAGAAACTGCAGTAGTGATCAACTGAAATGTATTTCTTGCTGTAACAAAATTCCAAATTTAAAACTCAAATTCCAGTTGATCATCTATGTGGTGACGTAAATAAATGTTCGGCTTATATAAATCAACTTGCAATTTTACGTTCTAGGATTGATTATGAATAATTAAATGTATTTTTTTTCCTTTTTTAATTTGGATTGTACATAATCATTATTTCTATTTGTTATAATACAAAATTTTATAATATTATGGCAAACGAAAACAAACACTAAAAATTGGTCACTTGAATGCACGCTCTTTACTTACCGGCTTTTAATTAATTAATTAATTAATGCAGGCACATTAAACACTGATTTAATATCCGACCACCAAGCAGTTTTTCGTAGTATTAAAATTGATATACCAAAACTTCGCCCACAAATAAAAACATACAGAAACTTTAAGACATTTTCATACATTAACATTACTAGTGATTTAAATTCAATAAATTGGGACAATCTTTTCTATATTTTCAATATTGACGATAAAGCAACATTTTTAAACGAAATTATAATATCGCTGTTTGATTTACATGCTCCATACAAATCAAGTAGATTTACCAAACATTATGCACCCTGGCTTTCGGATTCTATTAAATTACACATGAAAGAAAGAAATAAAGTCTTGCAGAAATTTAAAAAATATAAACGATTAGATGATTGGGACCACTATCGCCATCTTAGGAATTTAGAGAAATTTAAAGGGAAATAAGACGTGCAAAGGCAAATTACTTAAACTCTTTCAGTAATTCAAATAATCATAAAGAATTTTGGAAAGCAGCTCGTAAGCTGGGTTTTAAAAATATTTCTCAAAATCACATTCCCTTAGAACTTCAAACGACATAAATAAATACTTTGTTTCTGTTTTTTCTGATTATAATAATTCTCAACCGCATATAACCCAAAAATATCTTTCAAATAAATATAATCAAAATTTTAAATTTTTATTTCAGTTACCAACTATCGATGAAGTTGTAAATATTATCAATAACCTAAAACACTGTGCGCCCGGAAGTGATAATATTACTGCTAGAATGTTACAACTCTGCATGCCAACGTTAGAACCACATGTAACACATTTAATAAATTGTTGTTTAGAAGTGGGGTATTTTCCTTCGGTTTGGAAAACTTCACTTATAACTCCCATTCCTAAAATACAAAACTCTACAACGTTTTCAGACTTGAGACCTATTAGCATCATACCAGCTTTGGTAAAAATATTAGAAAAACGTATTGCAAATTTATTCGTATATAACCGAAAATGACATTATTTCGACAAATCAGTCTGGTTTTCAAAAAAATCAAGGTATGTCAACGGTTTTATTAAACCTTATAGACAATATCATAAGAGAAAAAGATGTAGGAAGATGCACTGCGCTTGTTTTATTAGATTTTTACAAGGCCTTCGACACTATAGATCATTGTCTCCTATGTGCTAAGTTGTCTTTTTGTGGTTTCGATGATGTTATACTCAAAAAAGTCCTATTTAGCAAATCGCAGTCAAAAAGTAAAATTAAACAATGTTTTGTCTGACAGTAAAGCGATATCAAGTGGAGTGCCACAAGGCTATGTGCTAGGGTCTTTATTATTTTTATTTTATACCTTTGATATTTTTACGGTTGCAAAATATAAGTTACAGCTAGTTAAAAATACATTTAAAGTTAAAATAAATAACCACACGTTAAATATGATTAGTGAAATCGAATGTTTGGGTCTAATCTTTGACGAAGAAATTAGGTTTGTGAGCAATACTGCACTTTTAGTGCGAAAAACTTATTCGTCTCTTAGATTACTCTATTCAAATATAAATATAATTAATTTTAAACAACGTAAAAAACTTGTTTGTACTTTCTATTTTAAATTATTGTTTAACTGTATATTTTCCATGTCTAGATATTTCTAGTTGTAACCGTCTCCAAAAAATTCAAAATACGTCTTGTAGATTTGTATTTGGTCTTCGTAAATATGATAGGATTTCAAATAAAATAAATGAACTTGGCTGGCTGAAAATGACCAATTTATTTAAATATCATATTTCTGTATGTACTCACAAAGTTTTACTGACGTCATCTCCAAATTACTTAAGAGAAAAACTTGTGTTCAGAAAAAGTCTTCATGTAAAACCCCTAAATTTACGTCACACCTCTGCACTGTTGGCCTTACCAAGATTCCATAGTGCCTTGTCGCGAAGATGTTTTACATATAATGCGGTTACTCTTTATAATAAGCTGCCAAAAGAAGTTAAGTCGTTTTCGGTGAGCAAATTTCGTGATTTTGTAAAAAATTCTACTCCGCTGTACAAAAAAATTATTAGTGTTAAAATACCTTTATTATTTTTCGATAATGTACTCTCTCTTTCACTGTCATTACTTTTTCCTGTATTTTGGTTTAGTTTTATGTAGACTTAGGTTAAGTTGAATAGCCTATTGGCTAGACTTCGCCTGTACATATTACTTACGAAATAAAGACCTTTATTATTAAAACATTAAGAGCCCCCAAAAAACAGAAATACACAGAAAATGTGACCTTCAATTGCTGAAACCGGAAATTGATTAGATGTATCCGGTTTTCGTGATTACTAGTTTAAAAGATATGTTCTCGCAAGTAACTATTTCAAATTTTATAATATTTGGTGATATGGTTCAGAAGCTATTACAAAAAAAAAACAAATTCCAGACCCACATTCCGAGGGCTGTAAAATTCTTATCAGTAGATATAGAATACGAGTTATTATTTGAATTAACAACATTTTGTAGATCATTTTTAAAGTTCAAATATTGCTTCATATTTATAAATAACCCTGTATAAGTCATGAAATAACACCGTAAAATTTTGTGATTATATTAAAACCACCTTGTATGCCGTCAAAGCAAGACTGTACAATTTCAGTACAAGAAAATTAGAAAAAATATAAACTGTTAGTTGTCCACAAATTCTATAAATATTGCTACTAAATGAAAGATAAATATGTTATTGGAATATGCATTTTTTGGTGGTAATAAAAAAATGCATAAAATTGTGGTTTTATATTATTGTATTTCCCATAGTCTTTAAATGATATTTTTTGAATCTCAAAAACGCGTGAATTGTTTAATTTTTGTTCAATAATGTTTTTTAATTATTTGACAATAACAAAATTTGAAAACACATGTAGGTATTATTATTATTACGTTCGTAGTTATAACTTATAACTATGTATTACTAAAAAAAATGAAGTTGATTTATTTTTGATAAATTCTTTTTACTACGAAGTAGAGGTATCCAAAAGCCAAAAGTACACAACTGAGCGGAGCGCACAAACTTGACAGGGGAAACGAAGCAGTGGTGTAACAAAGTAACTTTGCTAAAACAGTTTAAACAGTTTCTACTTACAGTTTTTTTCTTTTGCATTTACAGCTGCTTACAGCAAAATTCAAACTTAGTAACCTCTTCGTAAAACACAATGTTCAATATTTAAAAGTTTTGAAACTTTTTCTGTAAAATGTGACAAATGTGTCACTTTAAAAATCATAACAAAACAACACAAACGTGGGATAAAAAATGCTATAAGTGCAAAACTAATTTATTGAAACCTCGCTTAAAGCTTTGTGATAAAAGTTGAAATTCTATAACCACACTTTTTAAACTAGCACTTTGACGATTGAAACTAGTCGGTGTTACGAGTTATGGATTTTTTTTTATTTTATCTATTTTAAATTCAGCTTGAACCGAAGCAGACTCCTTACTTCTTTTATGAGAACACCACTAACATTTTTCTTTTTTTACTAATAAATATCTTAAAATGATAGAAAACGGAACGCCTCAGTTAAAACATGAAAACACCAATAAGATCAAATCTATATTAGTACCTATTGAAACGATAAAACTTAACTAAAGTTTATAAGCTATTAAAAAACTGCAGTTTGATTTTTTTTAATGAGCTTTAAATAGTTTCTTTTAATAGACCTTTTGCAAATATTACAGGAATAAAGTAAATCTGCACAGCACTGCTTTATGCCAACTTCAAAAACCTCCCAATATTAAAATTGGACGAGTTTTAATCATTAGGTGCGTACTTTTTTGGCTTTTACCCCACTCTAACCGTTTTCCCTACATCAAAATAATAAAAAAGATGAAATGCGTTATACTTATTCTCTAACGAGAATGAGGTTTGCAAGTAATCGTTTGCGTACGGAGTTGCTAGTATATTTTACTTTTTAGTTTATTTACCATTCTTTTTGCTTCTGCTTTCGGGCATTTTGCCCAGCTTCGTTAATACTACGATTATCACTTTCGCACGATGAGTTATCATCACTAGGCCATACACTGTCAACAGTCTGGCCACCTACACTTCCTAGAGATTGAGTTCGTACTAGCTGCCTATTATCCTGAGACCTCCTACTAATTACCTGAAACTCACAAATTAACTAACCAGTAAAAAAAAATTCTTTCCGTACTTGGGGCGATTTTATGGACGGAGTTCGTATCTGGTCAGTATACACTGGAACGCTGGCAAGAGTTGCCGACTTATTGCCAACAGATGGTGACACTCGCTTGTGCAACCTTTTGTTTTTCCTCCGATCTAGACTACCAAACCTACAGAGAAATATGAAACACCATTCAGTTAAAATAACAAATCACCTCTTATCTCTCTGCCAGCTTGATTCAGTGGGGCTAGAGTTACACCAAACCGTTTGGCCACTCTCTAGCCGTTTCCAGTACCCTCCCAGACCCAAAGGCATGTGTTCGTATTGTTGGTGAGGCTGTATTTGATGGGGGTTGGCCGTAAGGAAATTCTCGCTTTCAGAATGCAATCTGTAGTCGGGGTTTTGCGAATAAAACATTTTTGTTGTATTGAGATTAGGACTGGATTGCCGGTGTTGGGATCTTGTAGATTGAGGACTGTGATGATTTTTAATAAGTTGAGGAACTTGAAAAGTCTGGTTAATGGGGTAATTGTAGAGAGTATTTGGTCGTGGGTTTGGTTGGTAGGGCTGCGTCTGTGAGTAGTGCGAGTTGACAGGTGAGTGTTGGTGGAGTTGGTGACTGTATTGTAAAGTGTTATAGCCCCCGATATGGTTGTTGGTTAAACTTTCTTGTCTAAAATAAATGTAATAGGTTTAACTCAATTTATTCCATTAATTTACCGCTCAATGTAGTTTTTATAGCCATTGAAGCTTAAAGCGTATAAACCCCGAGCGATACTCTCCTCTTGCCGAGAGAATGACCCCTCCATATACGAGTTAGTAACATTTTTATAAGTCATTCTAGAATTTGAAAGCAGGTACCTTTGTTCAACATCTGTGTCACACTTGTTAGACCTCATACTATTTCTTAGGTCAGATTTCCCGAAAGGTTCATTCATGTTAGTCCCTACTGATACATTATCATCTAAAAAAATACGTCAAAAACATTACTAGAAATCTTATCGTAAAACCTTGCTCCGTCGGTCTTGGTTTTTTCTTTTGTTTATGTAACTCATTTTGTTGAGCTTTATCTTTCAGCGTCGATAATTTCTCTTGAAGCGTTGTAAACTGTATTTTATGTTGTTGATACTCGGCCATGTGTTGGCGACGCAACGTCTAAAACCGCTTGGGTTATTTCTAATCACCTTTTACCCAATTAATACCTTGCTAATATTGTGCTCATTTGCTAGGCCCAGTGCAGCCTCCGCCATATTGGCATGTACCTGTATTTGAAGCTCCAGATCTTTAAAAGATTCATCTTTACTTGATTTGATTAAATTTTCTGGTAACTGGTAAGCAGTGCCAATACGTCGTCGGATCAGAGGGGGCGACTCCCCCGGCTCCAGGGGCATTTCGGTGGGAATTATCCCAGTCAAGTCGGCCTCCTAAACACGGTTTTTAATTCAATTGTTTACATATTTTAAACAGCTTATCTAAACACAATGTTGGTAATTAATCACCGTCATAGCTATGATAACATTATCTTTGTGAAAAAATTGAGGTACAGGTTGCTTTGTCGGTATCTCGGTATTATCACAAATTGCAAATACTTATTAAAGCAATGAGTAATTCTGAACTATACCTGGAGGCATATTTGCTTCAATTCCTGATTGCATTTAGCTAAAGTTTCTTCGATCGTTTTCTTCCTTTCTTGTAACGTAGCGAGTCGTGTTATGTTCGGATTCCCGGTGGCCCCCATTTTAATCAACTTATTATCAATGCTGAGAGCATCGTCTAAAACTGAGTTAAATCTCCACCATCAACAATTACACCTGCAACATACCCATTTTATATAATCTCATCTAAAAACACAAATGCGGTCTGCCATTGTATATAGTAACTTAGATCACAATCACCAGTACCATTTCTTTAATATTGAGCTTCTTTATTTACAAATAAATAAAAAAATAAATGTAAATGTGTCTACGATGCACAACTCATAACATTGAACCGAAAATTAGATAGAAAAAAATTAGAGAACTGAGAAATTATGGATTCTGGTGTTGGCACTACTGCGATAAAATGTCACAAGAAGCTCATAAGTGTGAAGTGTCATTGACTTTTAGGAGGACGTTAGGCCGTGATAAAAAAGAATATTATGTTCTTAAACGATATAGACCCACAATTTATTAAATCTTTAAATTGTTTATACTCAAGTGAGACTTTAGTAAAGGGTGACACGGTGCCATTGCAATATTATTTAGAAGAAGCTATTAAAAGTAAGGTTGGGGTTAGTAAAGACCTGTCTGCTGTCGTTGCAACGTCTTTTAAGCAAAGAAGAGTGACGGAATTTAAACCTTTTATTAACACTCTTGAAGAGAGCAATGGCTCAAGCTCGGATAAAGAATTAGAATTAGATTTATTGAAGGAGGATTTGATGTGTATTGTTTGCAAGTATGTTCCCATGCTGTTTTGAAGTTTTTCCAAGTTGTGTTTTAGTGGGATGGACGTGGGGGCCCGCAATCGGCTGCTAGAATGTTCAGATTGTCACATGCTTTATCACCAGGAATGTCACAAGCCAATTGTGACAAATCAGGATTCTTTTGATAGTTGGGTTTGCCAGAATTGCAAGGTGGGGCTTTAAAAATTAAATAACTGAATGCAAAACTAACAAATCATTACAGGACGCTAATAAGAAAATGAAATTGGCGACAACTACATCAGTATCAAGTCCTTCTTCTTCTCACACGAAGGTTTCTTCCTCATCGTCTTCATCCTCTTCTTCATCAACATCGTCGTCAAAGTCAACCTCATCTCATCGGCATTCAAGTAGCGGCTCGTACAAGTCAGGTGCCGATTCCAAAAGCGATAAATGTAAGTCATAGTTTAATTTTTTGGTTTGGAAGCTTGGTAATAGGGTCATTTTTGTGATTTTTTTCTAGATACGAAAACAAATACGTCTAGTAAAACTTCATCTTCAAGTACGTCAAAACCTGCCACTACTAGTTCAAGTACTTCTCGCACAATTACTCCTAATATTAATATCATTAGTGCCGATAAAAGAATTCAGATTATGAAAAAGAAAGCTGCTAAACTTCAAGAGAAGCGCTTAACTCGATTAACACGATAATTATAGGAAATTTTAACCAAAATTTGCTGTATATCATGTATCTTATAATCTTTGTATGTATATTAATTATATTTGGATGATTTAATAAAATTTTGCCGAATTTTACCAAAAACGCGTAGTGTTCTATGAGAAAGTAAGACAATTTCTTTCTAATTGACAGGAAATTTTTATTCATATAAACAATACTGTATGGAATGTAACAATGCGAAGCAAAGGTTTAAATTACAAATGGGTAATTATGCCACAACCTTAATGTAAAATAATAAATGATAATACATTGTTTTATTTGAGGAAAAAGTAGGCGCTGTGTCGATATGAATATAAAGTTAAGCCTGTCTAAAATATAAAATGATATCACATCGCAAATACAAGACACCTCTCGTGATCCTATCAAAATATCTGCCTCCCCCTTAATTTCAGTCAACAATTTAAAGGAACTTGAATTATACCTACTAAAAATACAGGTGTCGTAATAAATTCGTTAAAATAATTAATTAGGTAATGTTTGACTGATTACGATTTATAAATAAACCTCGCGATTTTAAAGCTAACACACAAAAAATAGATTTTTCCTTAGAGTTAAAATTATACTAAAATTTTGCTGTGATATGAAAAAATATTAGTCATTACTAAAACTCTTCTAACATTGTTATATATTTGAATTTTTACAGCAACGCTTATAAGGTTTTGACTACGTAAAAATCTGTACATATTTCTCTACCTATACATATGTACAATTAAAATCATAAATAAAATACATATTAAAAAATCTACCTAAAATACATTAGTAATGGCAAAAACACAATAAATGAGATCGACAATTTATAGTACACGCTACACAATGAAATTTAAAACAATAAATAAATTACCAAAAAACCTAGTTAAAACAGACGAGATTCATATCGGTTGAAAACTTGGACACAGTACAAATCGTCCAACTTTTCTTTAGAATTCAGGCGGATGAATAAAAACTCATCCCAATTATAGCCAAAACTATTTACAAGTATATACATATGAACATTTGAAAAGTTACTGTTATATATGCGGGTCGCACTTGTTCATATCTTTTAAAATATCGCCGAGAACATCAGCTGATTGTGACAGTCGTGGACGTTTTATTATTTTTTGCGGTTTTTTCTCCGACTTGTGTTTTAAAGGCGACGGGGTATTATCACCGAGAAGCCTTTGCATTGGAGTATTAGAATCATTGCTATTAGGCGTTGACGGTGTTTTCGTCAGCGACGTATTCGAAAGCGAACTCGTGCTACTTGAAACCGACGTTTTAATATAATTATTTTTTTCATTTGAGATTTTCTTCGATTCCGAATGTTCCCGGTCTTTGTGGTGCGAGTGACTGCTTTTATGCCGATTTTTATACTCACTGCTACTTTTATATTTATCTTTATGCGAGTGGTGACGCGACTTTTCGTCTTTAGATTTGTGTTCTTTATGGTTGTGGTAGTGATGGCGGTCTTTATCTTTATCATATTTTTTATCTTTATGCTCGTGTCGGTCTTTATCGCGTGGCTTGTGGCTGTGCTTGACGCGATCTTTGTCACGTTTTTCCTTGTTTTCATCCCGCACTTTGTCTTTGGAGCGGTTTTTATCCTTGTATTTGTATTTGTGGTCGTTTGATAGTTTGTCTTTTTCGTCAGTCACTTGTTTCTCGAAGTCTAATTTTTGTTTCACTTTGAGCACATTCTTCACGTGATTGTTTTTCGATGATTCAGATGAATCGGTCCTCATTAACATTTTGTTGTTTATTTCGTTCTCTTCGCCGTTTTTGGTTTCGCAAGAGGGGTAATACTGCTGCAAACGCACATGCCATGCTAAAATTAAATTATTAACTACCTCGTCTCGAAGTTAATCAAGACTCACCTATACTTGTTACTGCCGTCACCGTCCGAAATTGGTGTATGATATTTCTTGGCAAAAAGTATATATCGTTATCATACAAATTCACTCTAGCATACTCGATACCTTCTCTCCTTAACTGATTAAGTTTAGCATCTTCGATCCAAGTAACACACTAAGCAGACAAATGAGAACATCGTTACAAAAGAAAACTGTTTTCTACCTGAGAAATCGGCGGTTCGTGTAAATCCAATTGTAGTTTTTCCGCTAAAATATCGAAATATTTTGCGGAAAACGCAACAACGTCTTTAGTGATTCGATTTATTGGTCCTTCATTCTGTCCTCCGTGTATTGCTTTCAGGATGCCGACTGCAGCCGTGGTTTTCCGGTCCAATCCGGCGCCAACGTGATCGGCGTGGGCTTTCGTCCGGTCTTCAAACAGGTGTTCTCTGGCTTCAGACATGCGTGGTAAGTACTGTAGATTTTTAAGTTCGTTTATGCCAGTCCTGAATAACAAATAATAATTTTCTTGTAACTTCAATTTAGTTAAATTACCGTTTTCTTTTTAGTGGTGTTCTTGAATCTGCTGTTGGTACTAACTGTTCGCCTGGTCTACACCAAACGATTGGTCCGTCGTTTGATTCGGTCCGTTTCATGTCACGACAAATCGACAATCGGCCCCAAGGCATCGTCTAGAATCTTTGATCAGTCAACTTGTTTAAAAAGTCAGAATGCACTTACAAGTTTTAAAAAATGGTTCATTTCTAACATGTCCAACAAGTCGGGAAAGTACCCCCCCACTTCTTCATGGGCCGTCCCAACAATACTTATCTGGTGCAAAGGCCCGTATCGTACTGTCCCACTTTCGTAATGCTTTATAACATTTTTGTTATATTCGGAAAAAGTGGTCGTCTCGATATCGGAACTTTTGCTCAAAAGGCCGTTCTTTACAGTCAAATTCGGGTACTTTTCGGACATGTATTCCAAAATATCGGGAAGATATCGAGCCGAACCGTGGACAACAGCGATAACGAACACAGCATGACCGTCTGAATTTTCTCTAAAGGCCAACGTGAAAAATTCTTGGGCCAACTCCACTTGCTCCTCTTGACGCAAATGCTTGATTTCGTCGTCGTACATTCGCAGGATCTTAGCCCCTCCGTTCGAATGAGTCTCTATGTGGTAGAAACGGCGGTACTTCAAATTCGTCTAAAAATGAGCGATATTTTTTACACTGAAAGTGAAAACATACACAAATAAACAGTTTAGGATTTCATTGTGTTTTTATTTACATACTTCCTTTTATCGCAATTTTCTTCGAAGTATGAAATTACATTAGATTTAATAATCGCTTCCGTAAAATAACACGGTTTTTCAATCCCGCCAAATTTGCAGAGAAGTACTTGACAATATTATAACGTCTTGCATTTTTTAAGTTAAGTTATTAAAATCACTAATTGCCAGATTAATGTTTTTTTAGTTTTTTTGTTGAAAAATCAGCTGTTCAATTCTGGGAAATTATCAATATTGTGACATTTTAATTGATTTAAAAGAAGTACAGTCATATCCTTTAAATTTTACATATGCAATTCGTTGATAACATAAAACGTCTTGAATTTTTTATAACTCACATCGTTTGGGGGGTGACTGTAATTTCCGTCGGTCATTAAGGTGGGTTCAATCGACAAATCACGTGGCCTCGTTTGCGTTCCCACTGTCTTCCTCCTGGAAGAGCTGCTTCTCCGCTTGTCGTGCCTTTTTGTACTTTCGTGTCTCCTCGACTTGCTTCTGTCTTCTTTGTGTTCGTTTTTGGTCGATGTGGCGCTTGGTTTTGCCTTGTCAAAATCAAGTCTTCTCAATTTGACGCCCCTGTGGTCAGCGTCGGCCGACAGTGCCCTTTTTTTGGCGGTTTTTTTTGGAAGAGTGGCCGTTTCGACCGATCTCGTACGTGCATTTCTTGGCGAACAATTGACTTGGCTTGTGAAATGTTGTTCTTCAATGGCTGGTAGTTCATTTTTGAAGGGTGTACAAGGGCTCTTTGGTTTGAATTTATTGCTGTGATTTGTTAAATTTAAATCGTTTAATATATCGTTATTATTAACATTTGAATTTATCTGAAGGCCACTGGTTTTTGAAGTTTCCTGATTTAGAGAACCGTTATTAGTGTCTATGGTAAGATTCACAGCACCAATATTGCAACTTTGATCACAGCCATTTTTAGAAACTGACTTATCGTCACTATCAACGGAGTTTTGGTTAACTTCAGTCGCACAGTTCTGTTCTGTTATTTCTTCCTTGAAGTTTGGTAAAAAATCGGACGTTTCAGGCTTGATTGACTCTACTGTCAAACTCACTTCACTGGATTTTTGATTCGTCACTATATCACTATCACTAGAGTTTTCCTTGGAAGTAAGATGATTGTTCTCAGGCAAATCCGACTTGATTTGGCCGTTTGTTAACGTTGCTGGTGGATTTTCAGGCAAAATTTCTGAAAAAAACACAACACATTACACACCTGTCTCTTGATAAATTTCAATTGTTTTTGCAAAAGATACCATTCTGAAGCAAGACTCTAAGTGGGCGAAGCCACAGTTTCAGTATTGAAAGTCTCTTTCGGGGCAAAATCGCAGTGAGAGCCACTTACTTGTTTCTTGTCCATTTTGGTTAGGGTTGTTGGACATTTCACAAGAGCACTTTTCGATGTTTCTATCAAAATTTTTGCAACAAGTGATGCAGTCATCTCTTCTTAAAACCGACTCTTTTTTAAAAAATCTATTATTTTCATCATCACTCGAAGATTCGTCATTCGACGCCATGATTGTAAAAGCCCGGGTTACTGTTTATTTACAAACTTTTACTTATTTCAGATATACAAACAGTCACATAATTATAGTTTACACTAAAACCGTAACACAACACAAGTAATTTTTAAAAATCAACGATAATTACTTTTAAAATACGTACAAAAAACGTGGAAAACTAGAAAACCTCCACGCTTGCCGCCATGCTTCTCGTAACCGGGCATAAACTCACTAGTCGTTTCTCTCTCAAACACCAGTGGCGTATCACACCCCCTCCACAATAACTCTCAAGATTTTAACGAAATTAAACCCAGATTATGCCACAAATGACCTAACTTAATTAACCACAAATTTAATTAATCCCTTGGAACAGTCACGTCCGGCTTGGAGTTATTCCAGAACCCAAAAACGCAATCCAAGGTACGCCTATGACCTGATCCATTTAAAATTATTTTTTATTCCCATTTTCAAAATTATAAAATGTTTTTCAAAAAATTTTAGACAACAATTTCGCATCGATGATTATAATTTCAATATTTAATTAAGAATTATTATTTTATAGAATAAGCATTCATGCCTAAAGTCACGTAGTCACTTTCGGCGGGAAATTCGAATTTTGCAAAGTGAAACATTTACTTAAATTACGTAATTGTTTTTACTTTCACTTTGACGTAAAAATTTGGCTGATGATTAAATAAGACGAATTTATTCAATAAAACACAGTTTTATTAGCATTTCTATATATAAACCACTGATTGTATTTACTCTGTATAATACAGTCGCTATTTTAGTGCAAATTTTAATAATCGCTGTATTCAGTACTCTGTGATATCCCATGCATAGTCTTTGAACCACGTTGTATCAATTGAGACTCAATTACAATTTTCACAAATTTATATTGCAAAGAAAAAAAATGTTATAAACTAACAGAACTTAAAGTCACTTTTTTAAATGAGAAAATAGCAACAAACTTATTTTAGCGAAAAATGTTTCTTACAAATATTGTGTTTTTGAAATGAAGCATAAACTATTGTTACTCAAAATCAAAAAAAAATGCAAATTATGTTAGATAATTTGACTAATTAAATAACCTAAAAAAAACTCAACAAAATCGATTAATACGCGTACACTACTGGTCAGTTGTTGACAGTTGAAATAATATATTAAAACAATAATTATACTTCACATAAAAACAATGCATTAAGCCACTTACTAATAAAGGGTATGATGTAAGCCTTTAGCACCAAGGGATAAGATTTTGCGAACAAACACAACCTTATCCTGTGTTAACAATAATCACTAAAATGGTTCAAGTAAAAAATAGTGTATTAAAAATAAGACGTTACTGAAATATACATTTGCATACCCTCTCGTTCGACCAATTTTACAAACATTAATCGTATGGTCATGTATCTCAAATATTTACAGCTAATATTAAGGAACACCAGTATTGAAAATTAATGGCTACAATTAAAAAAACCTATAACTCTTACAAAAAAAAAAAAACCTTTTTGAAGTACTTTAAAGAACCCTGGTGTATACTATATCGCAAACGTCAGTCATTTAAAAACAATAACTTACAAATGATGAAAGAAAATTCAAGTGTTTTAAACATCGATTCAGTAAATATGTAACAAACACATGAATTTTTCCATACAAATAGCATACGTAAACAGCTTAGTCTTATAAAAACTGATGAAAAAGCTATCTGAAAATCAATCAAAGAAATGTCAATTGACTGGTACTGTTTTTATTAGTTACTAAAAAATATTAAGAGGACAAGTGTGAGCAGCCAAATACAATCATATAAAAAAGTTAACAATGCAGTTTAACACTGACTAGTAACCATCACCCTCTTGGGTACACAGTTTTCACTGAATTATGAATCAAAAACCACCTAAAGAATTCCGGATATTGAACAATTTGTACCAATGTAACAAAGTATTTCAAATGTTTTATTAAATGTACAGTTTTTGTATGTGTGAAACAGCGTCAATTACAGACAAAATTGACTGTGATTTTTAACCAAGCGAAGGAAAATCACGTTCGTCATCTACTTTGGGTGCTCGACGGTTCTCTGATCTTTCATCAGCCTGGAACCAAGCAAAAACTTTCAGAATAAATAAAAACACACGGAATCGATCCCACCTGTTCATCACGATAACGCCGTTCTGGTCTTTCACCAGGCGAAGCTCCAGTTCCAGTACCAGTTCCAGTGCCAGTGCCACGTTGAGCCGTACGATTTCCTCTCGGACCAGACCTTTGACCTCTTCCACGACCGGCACCACGTCTAGTATCATTAAATTGGATGTCAATATCTAGAACATGTTTCTGTCGGCCAACACGTTGGGGGTATTCGGCAGCGTCGTATTCCTCGTCTTCAGATTCAGATTCGTGTTCTTTTTTTCGTAATTCGTACATTTTTTTCCACTGACTTGGGTCAACGCCTTCTCCAGCCTTTCTAATATTGAACTGCGGCTTTGCGCGACCAGCGCGTTGAGCCTTCCATTCGTCCAAAGTCAATTCTTTCGGTTCTTCCTCCAAGGGGGCTTCATTCTCCGTTTCTTCCCTAACAAAAAAATTTAAAACAAATAAATAAAACCCCTAAAATACACCTCCAAGAAAGACATACTTCGTTTCGGGGGCGGCATTCGTTTCAGGTCGGTCGTTTTCGTTCCAACTTTGATCAGCGTCATTGGGTTTATCGGCTTCCCTTTAATAACAAAAGTCATAAAAAATTAAAACAAAAAAAAACAAACTCACTCAATCACATCCTTATGAGATCCCCAGTTATGAGCACCTGCTCCATCACGTTTGTCGATTGGTTTAACTCCTCTGTAACCATGGCTGCTTTCAGTATTATAGTCAAAAGTGAGACAAAAAATTGACGACACATTTTCGTATCTATTACGGTTTTTTAAACAATACTCACGTCTTATCCGATCCGCTTTGCCTGTCAAATTCTCTTTTCCCGCGTCTATCATCAAAGTTTCGTCTAGGACCCCGAGGTCCCGCCGGTTTGTTACCTAATGCCCTACCACCACGTTCGCCACGGTCACGGTTACGATTTTCGAAATTTTCACCATTGTTTTCTCTTCGAGGCCGATCTTCACGTTCTCTATAACAATAAACACATTTTTGAGCATGCGCAATTACTGAAATATCATTTTTTTTTTGTAATTTTTGGCGTGATAAGCTTCTAATCAATTGATATCGTCAGCATGTAAACACTAAATCGTTCTATTTATGTAATCTAGACGCGGAATTAACCACAATCAAAACTTGATTAAATCATCGCATGCAGCCAAGTACCACCATATTTGCATGGACAATTTTGAGATTTCTGGGCGATACAATTAGGTTAAAAAAGCGAAATTACGTAAGGTATCGTCATTAAGTAAATAGTTGTTTCGCAAAAACGCCACGATAAGACATTAATTTGCATAAATTCAACCTTGTAAATCCAATTTTAACTCGAAATGAATATTTGAAAAGAATGTCAAGAACAGATCAGCGCAAAAATTATCTAAAACCGTTACATTTGTTTAAGAAAAGCACACCAAATTAGGTTAATTCGACCTTGAAATTTCACTAAGTGATTATTTTGTCGATGAAACTTCCTGATCCTTTTACAATGTAATAAGATATTGGTAAATAATAATAGAAGAAACGTGGTCATGTTTAGCGATAAGAATTTGTTGGGGCTGGTTATGATTGAAAACTGTTACATAAGGGCTTGCTCGTGCGATAATTAAGATAAAAACTTACCGGTTTTCGGTGGGTCCGTTGTAAGTCCTTTCTTCGCGGTTTCTCCTGTTATTGCGTTCTTCTCGGTTTTCGAATTTGTTGAAGTTGCGTTCCGGTTTGCCGTCAACATTTGACCTTTGATGGTTGGGTTTAGCGTCTAAAACAATGAAAATAAATGTGAAAGCAGCACTCGCCGGAGAATTCGTTTCAAATTTAGCATCACATGTGCAGCTGAAATGGCCGTCTCAAAGCTGAAACTCACCTTCGCGTTTGTTTTCCTGGACTTTATGAATGGTGTTTTCCTTATTAGTTTTTTTTTGGATGTTCACCGGTTTTCCCTTGGCCGGTTCGGCCTTCCCCTTGTTTTCCTTTTCGGCGACTTTAGTCTTCTTTTTCGATTCCTTCGCTTGTTCTTTAAGGTTGAGCGTTTCTAATGGATCAGATTCATCATCCAAAAATAGTGCGTACCTGTTGGCGACGCCGATTCCGTAAGAATTCTCCATTGTGGAATTTACGGATAATGTCTTCGCAACGAGACGATGTTGGAAGATTTGTTTATGGCTACTTAGCCCCCTGTTTTCACGCACTCATTCAATGCAATATGGCCGGCTACACGAGGATTCGCCCGCGCAACTGCCAATCGAAACGCTTTTGCGCAGGACACACAAAAATAACCAATCGGAAAAAAACCGCCAAATTCGAATTCTTACACAAATTAACCGTCATTCTCATTACCAACTCCAGCACGCACACACAACCGACCGGCATTTTGATCAAACTCGACTAATCCTATTTAAATTCTCCTAATTCATAATCACGCACCAAAACGGTACTTTTACTCAAACCCAATACATACTAAAGACAGAATTTGGAAAAAATGCTACATTCTATCTATTTACAATCTATCTACATCTATTTACTAACCAGGGGCCATTACGAGATAAAGAAGTATTTTTGGATTGACCATAAAATAAAAAAGTGTTTTATGAACTAGCACAGTAATTCTAAACTCAGTCGAGTCAAGTTGTACAAAATCATGTTTATTGCCATTTTGGTATCACAACTTGCGTAAAATTTGCTTGTGGTAATGGGTTTATTATTGATTAAATAGAACTGTAATATTAAAATAGAGAACTTGTGATTATGTTGGCTACATGTTTAGAACGGCTGGTGTTCCGGTGCTGCCCCCACGTGGAGAGCACCTGAACTACAATGTATGGAGGAGTGCGACGCAGTCGAATGTTTTGTGACTCCATAGGTATGTTGATAAAAAATCGTGGAAAAAAGTGCGAATTTGTGTAAAAATGTTATAAACCGTTACGAACAAAGTGTCTCCAGTGTAGTGTATAAGTCTTTTTGTGTAATATGCCTGAAATAAGTCGCCACTAGTTCGAATAGTCCACAGGCTCGGCCTGGTCTACGTATTCTCAATTCCAAGTATTGCTGTTTTCAAGAATGGTGCATCATACAACTTAAGTATGTTGTATTTTTGAATTTTTAGTAGGAAATGTGTGTATTATTTAGTCTCTTGGGGTAGAAGGGCGAAGAGATGGCTTCTGTTTACTCTGGGTTCGCTGTCAAATATCGATAACTTATGTGTAGGGCATGTTTATCATTGTGATTGACGTTTCAGCTCGCCTACTTAGAATCAACTTTTCCGAAAATACGCGGAATTGTACTTTTCAATTCAATTGTTTTGTGAAGGTTCAGCTAACTAGATATTGCTTCTAGGTATATTCCAACTGTTGACTGATTTGTAATAATAAATCAATAACATTGATTTTGAGAACGTGTCATGCAAAGTAATAGTTTTCGTAATGTGATTAAGCTGTTATTAAATTAGCAAATGTAATGGGCACAACTGGGGAATCGTTCAGTCCGAATTCAATCATTAATTGACTTTACTAGGTATTCATTCATTATGATTTAATTGAGTTAAGAATATATTTTTATCATTATCAGATTAAAGCTTGTAGGCTCGTCCATTTATGAATTCTTAGAAAAGCATTCTACCATCTCGAGTCTATTTAAATTCTGTCAATGTATTCGTAATTCTCGAAATAATCTATTCATTATTTATTATTACAACTTCTTCCCAATGGAACAAAATTCATTACAAGAACACGTCATAATTCCTCTAATTCGAAAATTAACTTTTTTTCGTTATACATGAAAGTGATAAGAAATGTGACAAGAGTTAAAAGTTTACACAAATATCGATCGATCCAAACTGAGAGTTTTACAATTCAATGTTTTAATTGGAAAACTCGAATGATAAGTTATTGTTCTTGAAATTTGGATCTTAAAATTAAATAAAGGAATTCTAACAACATAATAACTCTAGTTAATTTTTGTATATTGTTGTGTTTTGACAAGGACAGGTATAGAGGTTTTACTGTTTTTTCCTGTTTTATGTTCATGTCTCAATTTGTCCGGATTTTGGTACAAAAGCTTGACTTGCCTGGATTTAAAAAAAATGTTTGCACAGAAAGAAGGGCTTTTTAAAGCAATTCATTTAGAAAAGACGTATGCCAAAAATGGTAATTAACAAACTTAATTAAAAAAAATAGAATAGGTACCAAAAATACTTTTTATTTTTTGTCAGTATTTATTTTTACACTTTTATGTTGTTATTACATTTAAATTTTTATACAGTTATATTATTGCAACTATGTATGTCATTTTTTTGTTTTATATTCTGGAATAAGTGTTTTTGTATTTTCAAGTAGGTCAAAAATTTCTTAAAGCTTAACCGTGCATTCGTTAATTAATATTGTCGAGTGTTTTTCTACATTTGTTTCTTATTTTACTTGCTGAAAATTAGGCGTTGATCACACAGAATTTTTTTTTTGTATTTTAAGCAGTATTACTTAAGTCATGACAATTGTAATTTTGATTTTGCAAATTTGAGTTTTTAAAGTTAAATAAGACACGTTGGTAATCAAAAGTTTGTACTTCATGCAGTTTTTCACAATTGTATGTTATGGTTTATACATACTTAAAGCTTAACCGTGCATTCGTTAATTAATATTGTCGAGTGTTTTTCTACATTTGTTTCTTATTTTACTTGCTGAAAATTAGGCGTTGATCACACAGAATTTTTTTTTGTATTTTAAGCAGTATTACTTAAGTCATGACAATTGTAATTTTGATTTTGCAAATTTGAGTTTTTAAAGTTAAATAAGACACGTTGGTAATCAAAAGTTTGTACTTCATGCAGTTTTTCATAATTGTATGTTGTGGTTTACACATACAGGGTGATTTTTATATACTTTTCGTAATTTTTAGTATGATATTTGAAGAAGCAATGTAACTTTTGGCAGTGTCAAAAATTTGAAATTCACTAATGTAAAATTAACCCCGTCTCATCGTACATTCGACGTTCACTGCTTTGCTTAAATGAAAATGAAATGTAATAAAAAAAAAGTAGTCGACATAATAGACGTTTTTGTAGTTTATAGATGATAAAATTTCTCTTTTAAAAATGTAATTAATTGAAAGTTACAATAGATACTGAAAATGATGAGTACTTAAATTTACTACCCAAATTTTGATCATAATTTTTACTATTGACTTTTTCCAAAAAAATAATATTTTTCTGTTACCGTACCCAACTGTGGGACTTCGTAATTAAAATTTCGAAAAGTATTTCATAATTACCATGTACATAAAAGAATAATCTACAAGGTGAACAAAAAGTATGCAACCAAGAGTTTGTGCCTTCAGAAAAGAATAATTCATAAAATAAAAATGCTATAAAAAATGGGATCGTGTTTTAAGAATGAAATATTGTTTTGTTTTTGAGTTATGTGATTTTTTTCTTCACAATGGCAACTTTTATGAATTTTTTTTTTTGATAAAAATTGAATAAAAAAAAATGAGATAAATTAAACGTCACATTTTAATAGTACTTTATCATTTATCTATTAGTTGTTCAAAAGATAAATAGTTTAAGCAAAAAAGGTTTGATTCCATATTTTTTGTTACGGGTGTTCAGAACTCGCGCCCCAAAAATTTTAAGTAAGATAAAATAACGGGAACATGGAAAAATGTTTACAAAATTCTATTTGTGAAAAAATGTTGACATTTATATTTTGAGATCTGACATTTTTTTATGTTTATTTGGTGTTACTGATGATCTTTTTTTTATAATTATTTAGTAAAAGTACAAAAATTTTGCCAATGAAAGCCACAAGTAACGTTAAACAAAATTACAATTTAGGATACAGCTTCAATGTTTCTTCTTCTAATAGCCTGTAATACAAAACTTGGAAAATTATTTTTCCAACACAAATAAATAGTCAAAGTGCAAAATTTAAACTCCCTTAACTTTGACATTTTTATACATAGAATTTTTTTAACATTTTTTTTCATATTTGTGGTATCTTACCTTACATGGCATTTTTCTCTGGGGCTCGAGTTCTGAAACACCCTGTATGTTATACTTATAAAAACTGCATCCTACTAAAAAAATTAGGGCCAAATGACCATATGTATATGGTCAGGTTTTTTTTTGAAAAGTAATAACGAAGCATAGAAGAGTACAAGCTATTTTTTTACATTTTTTATTTATTATTATGACTTTACGAAATGTTCATCATAAAAAAATCGAAAATTAGAACCAACCGTTCTTTAATTATTGGATATTTTATTTTACTTAGTTTTTTAGCTAATTTTCACTATTTCTATCTCTTATTCACGAAATTATGGTATTATTTTCCAATGTTTAAAGTTGAACGTTTAGGTATTGACTAGTGATCACACCGAATCACACTATGTACTACATTTTTTTTGTCCATTTTTGGAATGAAATGATATACACTAAATTATTTTTTTTATGACATAGAAAAACAATTTTGTTGTCTAGTGTAACAAGCTTTATTACGCAAATCTGAAACTGAATTTTTAATTGGGTTAAAAACATCAATTAAAATGTTACCTAAGGGGTTGCATTTGTTTATAATTTTTAACATTTGTTTTCCGAAGTATTTGTTGTATGTGTTTCCAAGAACGAGCTTAAATAATAAGAAACCGTTTATTTCTAAAATATTCCTCAAGAGTTGGTTCGAATTTCGTTTTTCTGACTCTAAATACTCATGTATATATAGGAATTGAATCATTTAATATTTAGAAATGTTCATTTAACTTTGTAGTAAGTATTGTGTCATTTTTATCCTGTATGTGATTTATTCATTTGCTTAACTGTGTCAGAAAATAAAAAAGTTGTATGTACTACTGAAAATGTCCTCGTGATTTTACTGGTATTGGGAATGATTAAAATTTTATTTGTTTTTGAAATGTAATATTTCGTGGTTGCTTATTTAAATAAGTTATATCTACTAACCTGGGAGTATTTTTGTAATTTACAAAATTAAAATATGAATAGTTTTGATTGTTTGAAATAACGAGCAAACATAAGTATTTTTTTACTAAATTTAAATTGGTATTTGTTTTAACTACCAAACCGGCCATAAACTTTAACCAGGTTAATTAGTTTATCAGCCAATTAGTTAATTCAAATCCAAACCAGTTAAATGGTTAATCGGTTAAACAGTAAATTCATGTTTTCCCATATACATATAAAGTACTGGAATAAAACATTAAAATTATTTCTTAAAAGGAAGACTCTCCTGCAAAAATGCAAATTTGAACATAATGTTTTTTGAAAGTCTGCTCCTCATTTGTGAACCCAGTACTAAAAGTATTTTCTCATTATTCTTCATTTTTAGACCAAAGAAGAGGCAGAAATTCCATTTTGGAATTATACTGATAAATGTAAACAGTTTACCTGTAAATAATTAAATAACTTTTTGATTTAACATAAATCTTGCATTTACGAGTACTTTTCACATTTTTATGGAAAAGCAGGGTTGGCAGATACATATCGCTTGATAAATATCGCCAAAAATATGACGATAAATATCAACGATATTTATTCTTTGGTATAATATATCCTGCTAAATATCAAAATAAAAAGCGCAATTGTATACAAAAAACTAACCTAATGTAGTAATGTGTAAGGAAGGAGATTCAGATTTGAATTGGATCTGGCAGTCTATCTATCTATCTGTCAACAGATTCCAAATCCGACGACGACATTCCACTGTCGGATTAGTTGTCGCGGGTTCGAGTCTAGGGTGCATTTTTTTTTTAGTTTCACACTCATTATTTTTATTTTATAACATTTTACTGTTTAATAAGGTATATTTATGATGTTAAATTAGTTAAATTTTTACTGTTGTAAAATGTGATAAAATAAAAATAATAATGGGTGCCAAACTAAAAAAAAAGGCACCCTAGACTCGAACCCGCGACAACTGTCATCTATTTTGCGTGTAATCGGACAGGTGGCACTGACGCAAACGTTAGGTTTGCTACTCGGATTTCCAATATTAAATTATTGTCGTAAGGATGTTTTCCAGATAAGTGGGATAAGGAAAGTCGTGTGATGTTTACACCAGATTTTTTTATATATATTTACGTATCTTTTGTTTTTTTTTTGTTAATTTTATGTTTTCAACTTAGATTTTTTTTAATAAGTAATCTACACGAAATTCTGAAACTGATAAAAAAAAATTATCTATAAAAATTTCGAAGTTATGAGGGTTTATAGTTTGCACTTTGACTCTATTTATTTCTGTTGGAAAAATAATTTTCCAAGTTATTTTGCTATAGGCTATTAAAAGAAGAAACAAGAAAGCTGTATCCTAAATTTAACTCTGTTCAATGTTATTTGTGGCTTTTAATGGCAATTTTTTTGTCCCTTTACTAAATAATCGTAGAAAAACATATACAAAACCATCAGTATCATTAAATAGATATAAAAAATGTCAAATGTCAAAAAATAAATGTCAAAATTTTTTGACAGATAGAATTTTTCAATCATTTTTTTCATGTTCCTGGTATCTTACCTTACCTGAAAATTTTCTCTGGGGCGCAAGTTCTGGTGCACCTGTATATGGCATAAATATCGTATATTGTGATATTTATTTATATATATGTAATATTTGTCAACACCGTCTCTCTCAAAAAACTAAAAATAAACGTTTGATATTTTTCTAAGTCTATTTGTTATCTTAATGTGTTGCAATAAACTATGAGAGGTCATGGAAATGATTTTATTAAATTTTTTCATTAATTTATGTGATAACAAACACGAACAATGCAACGATTTGAATTCTCGGTAATTAAAGCAATTGAATGTTTTAGATTATTTGAAATCGAAGAAAAATGGATTTGAAGAGATGGAGTCACTTTTACATGAAAGTTTTGCTTTTGTTTGGCACCAGTGGAATTGTTTTAGCCCAAAAAGAACCAAGAATGTGTTCGCCAGGGTTGGATTTTGCAGGGTGTAAGTTGAATTGGTTTAAAGTGAGTGCAAGTAATTGGACATTTATTTTAGACACGGTACCCCAAGGAGATATCGTAATAGAATACGGAAATCCATTAGATATAACTTGTGTCTTATTTAATAGTACTAAAAATAAACTCAGCCCTAATGCTAGTCTTTCTTTATCTTTTACGAGAAACAATGAAGTTGTTCCATCCGAAATGGTAAGAAGTTTGTTTCATTTCAATTTTTTTTCTTTACTCAGGTTTTTTTTAGATCGAAGTGATAAACTCCACAGCCATTAAATTGCACATTGATAAACCACCGAAAGTTTCAAGTGATACGTACTCTTGTATTAGGCTCAATGACAGTGCGGTTTGTATGAATTGTGTCACTGTTGGAAGTACGTCAAAATATTTATTTTTTTACAATTGGTAACACTTTTCTTTATAGCGAAACCTCAACCTGTCACCGATTTCGATTGCATAAGCTACAATTATGACAATCTTACATGTACATGGACCCCTCCTGAAAATTACATTAAAACAAATTATAATTTAACATTTACTCTAGGTGGCAGGGCTGCTCGGTAACTTTAAAAAATAAAAATAAAAAACGTAAAACCAAACCATCATTTTTTAGGTTCCATCACACCTGTCCTCATATTGATTACAACGAAAAAACGAAACGCATGAGCTGCATGTGGAACGTCTCTACAACCCCTCAATACCGCCAAGTCCATGAAGAGATCAATTTTACTCTCACGATGGAAAACAAATTTGGAACAAATCGACTAAATAAACATTTCCACCATTTTGCGCACGGTAAGTGGAGAAAAAGAAACAAACTCGAGTAAGCATCTCTTTTTTAGTATTGTCAGGCCCTCCTGAGAATCTAACAGCTATAAGTACAACGCCATCTTCGATTTATCTCTATTGGATGGTTCCGCTTTCGATGCGTACTTTTAGGCCGGGGGTGCACCACCGAATTTTATATCAGTGTGAATACTATGAAAAGAAGTGGCATTTCGGTGGCTTAATTACGGCGAATCCACAAAGAAAGGAAATTTATTTTAATTTGACTAACCTAAAATACGCACATGCATTGTGCGATATCCGGGTGTCGCTAAGGTCGGCGAGAGCTTTGCCCACTGACGAATCGATGTGGTCGAATAATGCCTCGATTACAGTCTGGACTAGTAGTAAAAGTACGCTTCAGATTTATTTTTGCGTCAAATTTTATATATATATTTTTTTTGCAATTGTAGTACCAGACGAGCCACCAGAAACAAACGTCGGAAGTTTTGAAGTTGTGGCGTTTGGTAATAGTTTGCAAAATCGGGAGGCGTATGTCTATTGGAAGCAAATCAAAGAGGAACAAAAAAATGGACCCGATTTTCATTATGGGATTAGTGTGGTAGAAGAACCGTCAATAAGACCGGTTGAATTCACTAATACATATGCTAAATTCGAAAATTTGTCTATTTCGACTAGTTACACGTTTAATATTTGGTCGGAAAATTCAAACGGGACGTCGGCCCGGAAATCGACCGTTTTTATACCGAAGCAAACAGACCGTATGTTACCTCTGAAGCAAAAAAAAGTTTTACTAATGTTTATTTATAGGTATTAAAGAACCGTGGAGTTTCACTAAAGTCGAGTTTGGCGATGGTGTTTATGAATTAACTTGGGTGGCACCAAAATTGTTGGATCATCAGTATATCACTAATTACACGATATTTTCTTGTAGTAATGAGAGAGATAGGCCATACCAATGTAACGTAAGTAATTGAATTCAAATAAAAAATTGTAATTGTAAAAATTCGAAACATCGCTATTTTAGGGCATGCTAAATTGGACTGTCGTCCCCAGTAACACGACTTCTAAAACTATGATCGTTGAAAAGAACAAAATTTTTCAATTTGCGATTTCGGCAAACACGCATAACGGTAGTAGCGGCATGTTATGGGCGTCTTGCACCGTTATTCATAACAAAAACATGGGCAAAATGAAAAATGTTTGGATAAATAGTGTCGGTTCAACTTTCATAGAAGTCGGATGGAAATTAGATTGTGCAGATCGTATAGGAAGTGTCGAAGGTTACGTTGTTTATTATTGCCCGATCAAATCGCCAATGCATACAGAATGTAAAGGTAATAATAGAATTGCAAGAATTTTGTTACATTTTATTAATAACTTGAGTCGATAGCTCCTCAAGCCAATATGACTTTTGACGGAACTTCAATGCTTTCAAGTGGGAATATAACAGATTTGAACCCTTACACGACGTATATGCTTACCGTTTCGGTGAAAACTAAACATACGACCTTTAGCCAACAGAGCGATCCTTTGTATAACACCACACTTGAAGATGGTAATTTAGCTCAAACTTGTCAACTTTTCCTAAATTGTTTTTCTAGCTCCTAGTACACCTCCGCGTGATGTAACTATACAAAAAGTTACAAATTCGTCCATTAGGGTTGCATGGAAGCCACCACTAGCTCTCAACGGTATTATTCGAGATTATATAGTTTATTGTTGTGCAAAAGGTTCATTGTGCGAGAAAATTCCAGTGAAAACCGAATTGAACTACACGGTAAGTCCATTTCAGGGTTGTCAACCCGAATTCACATAGATTTTCTAGATAACCGACCTGAAAAGTTTCGAGAACTATTCAATAGAACTCGAGGCTTGTACTACAAAGTGTTCAGGGAAGTCGGAGAAATTACAAGTGACGACAAGCATGGGCTGTACGTTTTGACATTTCTTGTGTGTGTCCATTTTTTAACAAAACTGTTGCAGATCCCAGCAAAATACGTAAACCAACAGTCGATTTACGTAACGATACTTCCATCACGATTATCTGGAGTGAGCCAGAAGAGCCGAGTGGGCGAAACGATTATTATGTTGTCCAGTTTCGACAAAAACATAAGAGCGAAAATAAGACTTTCCAATATAATACTACGAGTAAGTTGTTAGATTTTTTTCAAACACTTGAAGTGACTTTATCGATTGTAGAGCGCAAATTCGTTATTGAAAATTGCGGCGATGGTGGCAAATTTAATGCATTTTACATATCAGTTAAGGCTGTAAATAAAATAGGGAATAGGAGTTATGACGGCCCCTGGAGTGACGAACTCGAAAACTACTGTGAAACCCCAATTAACTACATAATGTATTTGCTTCTTATTGTCGCAATCGTTGCTGTAGTCTCTGTGGGATTTTTCTCGACACGATTATACAATCATTGCAAATTTATGCGCGACGTCGAAGTGAAACTTCCTCCTGGTTTAGCTCCCGTCGTGGCCGACCACACTTTAGTCCCGTGGAGCACCGAGAAACGTCAAGAGACCGGCGATTCGCACTCTCCTCCCGACGAAGAACTCCTCCTAGTGAAAATGAGTGAAGGCAGACATTTTAGTGGTGATTCCAGTGGTTGCAGTTCAGGACACGAGAGTGTGACCTCGTCGCTTGAATCGGGGACACACATTTCCAGCAGTTCCGACTCGGGAACCGAACAACCAGCAGCTTACAGCGTGATGGAAGCAACTTCCGACACTCCTTATATATCGGTCACTGGTGACTCAAGTAAAGTCTATAAGAGTGGGGGCTCTGAGGCAAGTTCGCCGTATGTCATGACAGGGGATCCAGTCAAGACTATCAACCCGGGGTATATACCCTTCAACCAGCCCCCGGAATATGGTGGGGTGTTAGATTCGAAAGGCGACTCGCCTTATATTTCGGTCACTGCAACGGACGCGAACAAAATCGAGTATAAGCCGAGTAGTGACGTTTCAGATGAGTCGTCGCCGTACGTCATGACGGGGGATGCGCCGAAAATCAATCCTGGTTATATACCGTTCAATCAGACTGAACAGATGAAAAATGCATATGTACATATTACATTTTAAGTTAAGTTATGTAAATATTTACTGTTAGGATCAGGCGGACTTGGTGGTCGAAACTGTGCCTTAACTATGGACTGAAACAAACACTGAATGTGTGTAGTTATTTCTACCAACCATAGACAACTTGCCAGGTGCTTTACGCAATGCCAATTAGTGATAACGTAGAACTGATTATCGTTTTTTATTATTATTGGCTTTATACTTAAATTTGGTGTTAACATTTTGAATGTTTATGTTTGTGTCGCTCTTTATTTAAATTTCGAAACTATTAGTGGTGAAGCATTTTTAGTTTAACTTTATTTTTGTATGTATGCCATCTAAATCATTGTCAGATCGAAATTACTTTATTTTACTAATTACTTGACACAATTATTTGTTAATAACTGCACAGATTCAATTTTATGTGTTGTTTTTTTCGTGTTATTTTAAATAAACATGATTTTTCATGATTTTATTTATTTATGTGTGGCAGCAATTTTTATTTGTTCCTAACGTGTTGAATAATTGTGGCCTTTACTTGCCGTTTGTTTTTTTTATTGGAATTGGTTATGTCAACGTGTGTTGTCCCTGGAATGCATTTCAATTTGACTGCGTTGCAATCAAATTAAGAGAGATTTATTAACTCCAGATCGTGTCAGGCCTATATTGTATATACACCCACGTCAATTGTTTTTATCACTTGTAAATTATCGTAATTTTGTCTGATGAAGATTTGTTGCGATTTTTAGTAAATGTTACGTTGTGTCATGAATGAATGTCTTGAATTGTACCTTTATTATATTATTCATATTATGTCATTGTTCCTTTTCCATTATCACATTTACTCAAATATATATTTATCAAACATTCTTCTGTTTTATTCAGTTTTTCCCAATGAACTAATATTTTTTTATACTACGAGAGCGGCGAGCGATTTAATACCCCTCAAACAAAAAACTTAAGAAAAATTTGACAGTATTTACAATTACAATACAAATTGTTTTTATTATAATAAACAAAGTAAGCATTAAACAATATTCTTATTGATATGTATTTATTTCACAAAAAAAATTGTCACTGTCAGTAGGATAAAAATTGTGATAAACTATTTTGTTACAAAATTTAGAGAACAAATTAAACGCTAATTTATTAAACTAAATTACATTCGCTAAGTAAAAATACTAAACGCTACGTAAAAAAGCACTAAGTAAAAATATTGAACCCTAGGTAAAGATAATAAAGTTTTGTTATAAAAAACTGTTACTAAACAAAAACAAAAGTAAATTTAAAAAAATTGTTGCCATTGTTGGGGAATGGTAAAAAGAGGCACAAACAATCTTTTAACCCAGAAAATGATGTGTTTTTTGCAGTAACAATAAAATAAAAAACCACCATATAGGTACGTACTTAATAATAATAATAAATCCCAGTAATAAATTATATTCTTCCGCTGGGTTCTTGCATATGTAGACTGTTCAGTGAGTAATTTTGAGTGCTCTATTGCCAGTTATCATGTTTTACAAGACTTTTTTCTGAAAGAGTGGAGCTTCTTGGCTCTAAATTTGTCAGTAGGGTTCAGTTGCAACAGATTTTTTTTTACACAGAAATCAAATATTTGTAACCTATTTTACCTCAAAAAACACATTTGACAATATGGCAATAGAAAAGTTTCGAGCTATACATAGTAATGATAAAATTTTAATACCCTCAAATTGTTTTATAAAGTGAGAGTTAAAAATTGTGTATCGTCCACATTTCATGATATTCACTAAGGAAAGGTCATTGGTGTTAACCTACGACCACGCAAAAATGTTTCATGTTCCTTGAATAAATTGCGGGATGCAATGTACTGTGTTATTTTAATGTACAAGGTGTAAAAAGCGTTTCCTGTTTTGTGGGAAATTTTTTAATTGACAAAAAATGAGGTGATTTTTTTTATGTAATTTTATTTCTGCCTACACAATGACAATAAAGTGTAACGATTGGACTATAATAAACCATAAGCAAAAATGAAACGTGAATAGAAATGTTATGTGGAGGTGTGTGTAGCTATCGAACTAAAATTTATGTGTTTGAACTTGATTTCGTAAGTTCAAGTTCGGTTTAATGACAGGATGAACTAACACAATAATTTTTTAAAAACCTTGCCTGTAAGGTTGGCAATTAGCATAAATTTTGAGATTAGGTGAAGCCACAATTAAAATAATTAAGTGGCAACTTAACATTGGATTACGGAATTACTGCACTAATGTCAAATTAAAGAAATCGTACACAGACAATGTTTGGATTTTTTAAATTCGATGCAAAACCTTCAAGTTTTGCACATTTTCAAGTACAACAAGACGCTATTTTGTAGAGGGGAAGTTCTTATAAAAATCAATATGAAACTAAGCTCCATCAAAATAAATTCTCAATCTTCAACTCAAAATGTTCTCAAAAGTTTTTCTGTGCTGTGTGCTTCTGGCGTTGACTTTCGCCATGCCTCACGGTAACCCTAAAATTAATTAAAAACTAATTTTTACTGAAAACAATTGTATAGTGCGTGAAGCTCGATCGCCCCATTTGTTCAAAAAGAAGCCAATTTTGGGCAACTTGTTCGGCGGCGGTGGCGGCTATGGAGGAGGCTACGGCGGCGGCTACGGCGGAGGCGGATATTATCCACAACCCGTGCACCACCCCCAACCTGTACACACCGGAAGTGCCAGTGTAGCCACCAGTTCGGCAGGAAGTTCCAGTCATGGTCACGGCGGCTCGCAGAGCCAAAGCCAGTCGGCAGCCATTGCCATAGGGCCTTATTCCGTTGCTTTATCCCAAAGTCAGTCCCAGGCTTCTGGTGGCGGCGGGTAAATAAATTTCTTTCACGAAATTTTATTAATAACTAAATTTTTTTTCAGATTTTTTGACTACTAAGGACTGAATTTTCTATTATTTATTTATTAGTTTATTGTAGCGTTAGTGCATTTTTGTTTCTAATAAAAATTATTCCAGTACTTGCTTTGTTTCATTTTTATCTTTATTATCAGAGTGTGCGAACCCAAAATCGAACTTCTAACTATTGCGCTGTTGAATACTTTTTTTAGGGTAACTGAAGTAAGCTAGATTTAATCTTTATATGATCTACAATTGTCTAAAAAGTTTATTTAAAATCTCATTTAAAATACCAAAAACTGATTGTGCTAACAGCTTGCAGTTACTTTTTTGTTCATTTTTTTACTCAAAATTTTAAGCAAAACTGCTGACCGGAATAAAATTATTTTGAACCGTGAAGAGAACTGGGAAATTCCGGTTAATTGAAACATAATTGATAAATAAATGCCAACTATAAGTGAAAAGTGTACAAAATTCGAAATTTTTGAATTTGTTATTACAAAAATGCATTTTTAAAAGGAAATTTGTGTCATACTACAATAATTTTGATTTCGATTAAATTATACACTGGCCGCCAAAATTAACCGGACAACTAAAATTTTGCGATTTTTCACATTGTTTTCTTTGTCGGATTTCGACGAATTAAGAAAAGACCTTGAGGATCATTTTAATTTAATTCAATAACATTTCTAGTTTTTCTTACAAATGTGATACTCAAAAGACGAAGACACTGATTTTTCATTAGTTTCCTTAGCTGTGGTGTGTGACAGAGACAAATTTAGCTTAACTTAACTTACTGATTTCAGATTATTATCCATTCTTTTCTGAATTATGTACCACCTAATTAAAAAAAGCATTACATTTCCAATTTCAATGAATGTTCGTATTAAGTAGGCCGTCAAAATAGGCTTCCAATAATTAATCGTTTTACTTGTTGTACTGAACTTGATAATTTGTTTAATTTTTTTGTTAGTGTTTGTTGCGTGTTTCTGTTGCGGTTTTCTGTTAAAAATATATGTTTCGGTTTAACTATACCTTTTTATGTAGCCTACTTTCTGAACGAATATTTAATAACATTAGAAAAGCAACGTCTTTTTCAATGCTTTGTATCTTTGGAGCACTAGAAGATAAAATTTTGAAATAAATTGGTCCTCATTCAGAAAAGAACGACCAATAATCTGAAATAAGTAAAAACTTAATTTTGTCTATTACACACTATAGCTCAGTATAAAAAAGTAAAAAAAACAGTGCCTTTGTCTTTTGAGTATCACATTTGGAAGACAAAATTAGAAATGTTATTGAATTAAATTACAATGTTCCCAAAGTTCGTTCTTTAACCCGAACAAAAATTTGTCGAAATCCGACAAAAAATAACAAAAATATTGCAATGTAAAAAATCGCAAAGTTTTAGTTGTCCGGTAAATTTTGGCGGCCAGGGTATAATAATTATATTTGCTCCAGTCTTATACAGGGTATTTCAGAAATCGGGCCTCAGAGAAAAATGCCAAATAAGAAAAGATACCATCAGGAAAAAAAAAATGTTTTCAAAATTCTATCTATCAAAAAATTTTCACATTTTTTCTCTGACATTTAACTTTTTTATATATTTATTTAATATTACTGATGATCTTGTATAGGTTTTTTTTATAATTATTCAGTAAAGGTAGAAAAACTTTGCCAATAAAAGCCACAAATAACTTTAAACGTAGTTACCTAATATTTAGGACACAGTTTCTTCGTTTTCTCTCCTAGTAGTCTGCAGCAAAAAAACATGGAAAATTATTGTTCCAGCAGAAATATACATATAGAGAGAGACTCAAAGTGAAAAATTTGGACCTCCATTTATATTACACCTACATTTTTTCCATGTTTCTGGAATCTTATCTTACTTGGCATTTTTCTACGTGGCGCAAGTTCTGAAACATCCTGTATAATAATTATTCTTCAAAAGTTACAAAACTAGAAGTACATCTTTAAAAAAATTAGTACTTTAATTCTTAAGGCTACAAAAATCTTAATGTTTGGAAAGTGAAGATTTTTGAAAAAATCGATGAAACGAAAAATAATTTTCTTGATTTCAAAATTTTATAAAAATTTCGTAAAATTTTCGGGGCCAGCTTCCGCCTACTATAATTGCCCTGTTATTATAGGACGGAAACTTACGGTATTTCAATGAAATTCGACCTTCCTTGATGCTAGTGTGAAAGGAAGTCAGATAAATTCTTCTGTAAATCACCATTCCTTCAAGACCGTGAAGCGTTTTACTACACTGGAAAATCCAGATGATCAACGAATTGTTTATCTGAGATTTTGAGTCATACTTGAATAATTTGAAATTGCAAAAACTTGTTTGGGTTTACTCAAATTTATTTGAAATCGAAAATACTTAATTTGTGTTTTTATGCAAAAATCTTCCATCACAAAATGATGGCTCAATTATATAACCCAAGGACCATTGATCACGGTCAAGAACAATTTAATTTTAGCAAAATAAGAGATAACCTTGGTACGGGTGACAAGAATTGAAAATTCTATATTCTAAGTTGAGTAAACTAAAATTAAATTCTTGTAAGCAATGAGTAATACTTGTCCAAACATAAAATTCTGTTATTTCCTGCTCAAAGTATTGGTTATAAATGCACCAACACACAGGTTCCCAGGTCCACTAACCGGTTCAAGAATTGGCAAATTGGGGCTTCTTATTTTTTAACGAAATATTAAAGTCGGTTGAACCGAGAAGAAAACGTCGAGGTCGTAGAAGTGGCAAGTGGTACAACAAGTTCAGTGTTTTCTCTCATATTCTCACCGATCCTTTTAAAATGAAACACTTATTTACTCTTATTTTTCTCGTCGTTATTTTTATTTGTGCTTGTTACACGGCACCTGCAGATAACAACGACACCAACAAGGATTCCAAATGTAAGTGTTTTTTACTTAAAATGCGACGAAGAAAGTGACCATATGTTTCAGCCGCTTTTGGGCCAGCTTTCGACGAAATTGTAGTCGAGTCGCATTTGACAGTTAGACGAAAAAGCAATGCGAGACAAGCCCGTACCCAAAACGGCACCACCGAGGCCCCAAAAATCAAAGCCAAACGCGAAATAAGGTTACCATAATTCGGCAAATGCGACACACTACTCACTTCTAATACTTCAGTCTATTTTAGAAATCCGCTCCGACAGCCCCCATTCTCCGCATCTGCAGCTAACTCTCAGTCGCAGTCTTTCAATTCGTTCGGCCCTTTGGGCACCTTCGGAGCGTCCGCTGCGAGTTCCCAAAGCCAGAATTTCGGATTTGGGCCGAATGGGATTCTGGAATCGGCGGGATTTTCCGGGACTCAGCAATACATGTTTAATGGACAAACCATAGATATTGCATTTGGGGGCGGTTTTTCGGGCAATCAGGGCGCTGTTGTTACAGTTACAGGGCATAATGGCAAAAAACGACCATTACGTATGTGACTAACTGTACAGTTTTTGAATAAAAAATAATAAAAGCTACTTTTTTATTTTTTCATGACCTGTAGCACATGTCGAGAATATGTGATTGTCGGTTGATGATCCCGGTTCTTGCCTAAAACACACAGAAAGGTAATTATTTCAAGTCACGTGTACGTCTCTTATTGAAATTTGTAATGTAATATAACCGTTTAAAGGAATGGCGGCAAGAATAAATTATCTCCTAATGCATGAGTACCAACTTAAAACATAATTAAGACGTCTTTCAATTAAACTAACTGTTTTACAGCTGTATAAAAGCCTTGTTAACCTTGAAAAAGCTATTTTGGCGTAAACATTCTGACGTCAAATACTCTACTTTATTCGTCCAAGGGAAAAAATAATGATTTATATGACAAGATTTTCTTGATTAGTTGAGAAAAATTTATTAAAAATCACATCACAGATGAAGATAGCAATCACAACGCGAATAAATTTAAATTTTAAAGTTGCAGGTGTTGATGTCGTTTTGCAGTAAAACTATAAAACATAATAGTGATTCAATCCTTTTTAAAATTACTAGAGGAGACCGGATACAAGCACAGTCTGCTGTTTCTCAGTAATGCAATTAAAATTCAAAAACTAATTTTGTTAATTAAAACGTAATTAATTAATTGGTGGATGCGCCGGGTCTAGACTTTAAACCCATTGTGTGAATATTCGCTCAGTGTACAACATGCGCCAAAACTAACGTCACATAATTTGCATGCTTTGTGTTCGATTCCACTTGGCTTAATAAACGTTAAATCAGTCAAACAGACAAGTTTTACCATTTGAATTCTAATAATATTTGGTGTAAAGTAATCACTCAATCTCTTGGCACTTATGACTGTTAAAACACCATAATCTAATTTAATTTCTATAGTCGTTTGGACTCGAGCGCAATAACTTACAATGAAAATGTTAAGACCTTGGTTATTTTAATATTCATTCATGAATTCTTGCGTTTCCTGGATTAAAATGTCTTATGTAACGCTCCAGCGATTTTTTATGATTATCAATTTTTTTTCTACGGGTCGTTCACCCTAAAAACAGTTTTTGTTTTAAGGTATTGGCATTCCCGGACAGATTAAAATCAACATTGTCTCGTGTTGCGGAAATTGAAAGACGTCAATAGTGACGCACTGAATCAAATACTGGGAAATACATATACAGGGTGTACTAAATTATGAAAAATAAATTGGCAGAAAGACTGCCCCTCAGAGTCTTAAAATGCGTACCTAGATAACACATTGTAGCAAAGTTACATGAATGCGCGTACGACAAGCTCATAATAATTAGTTTCGTCTTATCCAAGCAAATCACATCGTCTGAGTTAGTGTTAAAAAACACTGACACTCTTATTTTACATGAACACAAAACACGTATTGAATTTTTGATTTTCAATGAGTACACATCCTTATTGTGATTGTACATAAGATAGGGGTGGAAAATAGTGGGGATAATATTTCGCAATATAAATCGTAATGTACTTTTGGTAATTTCAGTAAAGACTTGACAACCATGAAGACTTTATTGTTGTTGTTAAGTTTTGTTGTTTTCGAAACGTTGGCAAGCCCCTATGGTGAGTCTTGAAAGTGTTTGATTTTTTGACAAGTTGCATTTTACAGGATTTAGACGCTCTCCACAAAGAACTGTAATGTTTGGAGGTTATTATGACCATCCCTTGGACACTAGAAGTTATACTCCGCAAGGGTCAATGACATTTGCGTCTGGTGATACAATCGCGACTAATTCTTTTGTTGGAGATGCTGAAGATGCAACAGAGAGAAGAGTTGATTTTGATGAAGAGTTAGAAGTTGAGACATCAACACCCAAATTGAAACGAATTCCAAAACGGAAACAGGAAGATAGTGATGAAGATGAGACGCCATCTTGGCCTTTTGCAGGACGTAGTGGAGTCCCCTCGTATAACGCTTTTTTCCCGATAATGTTTGGGGGGATGTCCCCATCCGGAAGGAAAGCTGGTGACAGTGAAGGCTACTATCCCGGATCTGCTACGGCTATAGCAAATAGCTTTAGTACCGGAAAAGGAGGTGTTGCTACAAGTCATGCTACTTCATATGGAGACCCCTACATGAGTACTCTTTTCAGAAATGGGGGCTTTAACCGAAAAGGTGCCAAACCGAGCTTAGAATAATTCCCCACAATAATTATATTACGTACTGTCATTTTTTCATCATTAAAAATAAAGTAGTTAATGTCATCAAAATTCCATCTTTTGTCCAGATCACTTCCTCGTCATTATTTACAAATGAGAAACAAAGGAATTCCCCGCGTAAGTACCCAAAAACCAATTGAAGGTCAATGTTTTCCTAACAACTAAAACAAATTTTTTATATACATTTTTGTCCATTGGCTACGAGTATATATAAGTTCTGGTCTCTCGCAATCCAGTAAACAAAAACCTGTTTGGTCGGAAGACTATTTAAGAAGAATCTTTACATTTGTGCTTTAAACAAGATGAAACCCGTGCTAGTGCTAGCCCTTTTTCTACCACTCGCCATGTGCGAGACTTATGGCAAGTACTCTCAACCCTAAAACCACTTCTAACTTTATTTTTCCAGGCCTAATCCGTGTCGTGCGATCGCCAACCCACCACTTGGGATTCAATAAAGGCTTCGGTGGCGGCCTTGGTGGCGGTTACGGAGGCGGCGGCGGATTTGGAGGAGGCGGCGGCTTCGGTGGTGGTTTCGGGGGAGGTGGCGGATTTGGCAGCGGCGGCGGCGGCGGTGGTTTGGGAGGTTTCAAAGGAAAATTGCTCGGAGGTGGACTGGGTGGGGGATATGGAGGAAAAGGAGGGTATTACGGCGGAGGACCCGGGTTTGGAGGATCAGCGTCGAGTGCCAGTGCGAACGCACAGTCCTCCAGCTTTGGGAGTGGAGGCTTTGGAGGCTCACAAGCCTCTGCATCGGCCTCGGCGCAGTCTTTTGGAGGCGGGTACGGCAGACGGTGATTAAATAATTAAACATATTTATGGCAAACATTGCGTTTTATTTTGTTTTCCCAATTTGCATATTATAAAAAGTGGTTTTTACGAGGAACAGGTGCTCGAAATTTAAGGTTCTTTCGGCAAAGCTATTAGAAAAAAGGGTAAAACAGGTTTAGTAGAGAATTTATCAATGTTTGTGAACATTGTTTTTATTTTTTCATTTTTATAGAGTAATTAAAATTCTTTCTTAAAATATGTAAATTCCCAATTATGATTCCTTTGTTCGTTGGTTGGTATGGCATGAGGCATAATACTGGCAATTACAGCCCTGTATTGTTGGTTGGGGGACTCCAGGTGTTCAAGATTATGCGAACTTGAGGAACTATGCAGAACAAAGGGCGTCAGCTGCAGTGCAGCGGTAATTTCGTGAAATAACGTGCATGTTTCTTCACTTATTTAATGAATATATTTTGCATAGGTACAATTATATAAAATCGTTATATTATGAAGTTATCACGCAACGTGATGCTTTTTTAATTGATGTTTAACATAATGTACAACATATACTACAGTTTTATTTAAAATTAGGTGAACATGATAGTGACATTTCTTTTGTAAAAAATTGCACAATTTAACAGTTGTGGTGCATGAATGTGAGCTAATCACAGATTAAAATGCTTGAGCCTTATAAAGAATTATTTCACAACAGAATTGTTATAACAATAGATAAAACAGTTAAGTATCAACAAAATTGAAACAAAATAAAAGTAACCCTGAAGAAAACAATATAAGTAAAATATGGCAGTACTAAATATACATATAAAAACTATTTTATTGTAGGATTCTGCCAATTGTTGAAGTTTTGTGTTTGTGTCCTTAACTAAAATGTTAAATATTAATAATTATTATAATGCACATGTAATGTTGAAAATATTTCACTTAAATGAACAATAATAAATAGTTACGCTATACCCGTAATTTCGTTTAATTCTTATATGTAAATGAGAAAAGAAAATAACATTTCATGTAAAAGAGTAGAAAAATTTAATAACAACAATGAGTAAAGCTTGAATAGGAAGAGTATTAAACTTTTTTCTAACAAGAACATTGATTGCTCCTTTTGTTAAACATAATTATGCAGCCATTTTGATTACTATAATAACGTTATAAATTACAATTACCTCACAATGTACAAATCAACAAACACAAAAACTTCAATTATATAACAGTTATAAATAGAAAAGTTACAACAGCAAAAGATCCCAAATTATTGAATGTATGGCACACATTAATAAATTGATAGATGTAGGGCGATGTAAAACTATACAAAATTAAAAATATGGTAACTACAAACTAATATAAAAAAATATACAATTATAGTATTTTCAATTGTCCCTAAACTGATAAAAGCATGTAACTTCACAAGGTCAAGGAGTATTGAGAATAGTTTTTAAATTAAAAAAGAATATTTACAAAACCAAGATTGGAAAAGACATAGCAGATATTTTTAAGTATCACAGTTTATGAATGCATGGTATTCAGATCTCAAACACAATATAATTTTTCAAGCATGCGAAGTTCAACTATTTATTGTAAAATTTGTATAAAATTCCCTATAAAATTGCTAAAATAAAATCTTCCATATTTACAGTTTTCTATACAAAATGTTATAAAAATGTGAAAGCTGCCATTAGAAAATTTCAGTCGTTTGGAAATTCTGATCGGACGATCAAAATTTGGGCGGTGGATCCTCCACCTTCAATAATATATGCTATTGAGGTAGAGACACAGGTTCGTTTAATGCTTTTTTCGTCATTGAGGTCAACTCTTCTTCTAAGGGTACTTGTTCGTCGACGAAATTTATACTTCCTGCCTTATACCATACTATCACATCTACGAAAAATGCGCACAGCAAAATGGCCCCCGTCGTCCCTGAAACAAAATGAAACTCGGAGTTTTGCAGACTGCGTGCAACTAAATTGTTACTTACCGTGATAAAACATTCGAAATATATTCGAATCGTATAATGCACACGCGCCTTTTTCCCCACAGGCCATCTTCCAGACAAGACAAGCGGAGTCAACAACAGCCCCGTATACTATAGGACAAGGAACATTTCCGAAAAGACCAATAGCAAACTGGATCAAACCCAACGCCATTGCCTTATCCCTCGGATCAACACAACGTAAAATCAACAGCATTGAGCCAACTTCCGAAGTTGAATGAATAAAAACAAAAATTGAAAACAGTATTATATACCACGTAAAATTCGGGCATTGCACATCACAATAACCAATGGTCGCATTCCCGTATAAAACATTATCAGGAAATGATATTGTAACATTGTCATCATTTGCGACACATAAACAGTCCGAATATTCAACAATTTTTCCCTCTTTTTCGGTGTAATTTCTGCAACCCGCATGACAGGGAGATAAATACGTTTTACCGTCCTGGCCGCAAATCGGCGAGAACTTATCTTGGTTGCATTCGCACGTCGATTTGTTGCAATTTAGATCAAAAGTAGCAAACCTGAAATTAGATATTTAGAAAAAAAAAACGTTTTTTGACGGATTTTTTTACTCGTGACGTGTTTGAATTCCTGCTAAATCATCCATTGGACAACCAATAAACATCAAAATGCCCATTCCTGGAACAATTTTATAATATAATTAAGTGTGACTTGCACATCATTCGAGGTCACCCATTTAAAATCACCCAAATGGAAAATATTTTAGGCCAGGTCAAGTTTTACTTACCAATGGCGTAGATTATGGCCGTGAATGCGATCCAGGCTGCGACAAACCTGGCGTTAGGTTTCACACGGAGGATGAACACTCCACTTATTATTATGCCGACTCCCATCACCAAAATGCCTCCAACTCCTGAAAAACTTTCAATCAAGTCACATTGTTATTGTTTTGAGTCCTGAAACCTGATATCATATTGGCTGAAGGAGTTGGTAGTCTGAACTGAGATTCTAAATACTTTGGTAGAAACGTATACAATCCTGCTATTGGAAGAATATGTAAGACACTGCTTGCAGTCCGAAACATTAAAATATCATTTTTCAATAGCCGTTTGACCGTTTTAGGGAAGTCTGCAACAAAACCAATTTGTAAGAAATCACAGCAAATATTGTTGCATTGTTGGTTAATAGCTTTATTTACAAAATAAATTAACCGTGACCGTTTGTTTAAAAATTTTCACACATCTACACAAAGATCAATGACCGCGATTTAATCACCTCTTATACTAGGATGTTTTCGTCCAGGTTGATGTATCCTAGGTGTCGGTTTAGCCGTTTTCAGTCTTTTCGGGAAGGCAAACATCGCGAAGGAGGCCAACATTAGCAGTCCTGATATTAAAACCAAACCTAGAATTTCCGTCAAATTAAAAACTGTCTCGAGCCGGATTTAAGACTTACCCAAGTACCATGCCCCAACCCACCTTGGATCTGTCGTATCTATTTTAGGATCGACAGATAAATCGGCATAAACACTAGTACAAAGCGATCCAACGATGAAACCTAGAGCTGGACCCAAAATTCGCACACCGATTGTTATCGCTGGAAAATTTACAATTCCTGTTAGGTTTATGAGAGATGCTTCAAAGAAGAAGCGTCAACGACCTTTATTTTATGACGTGATTTTTTTAATGAATCTTGTTTTCACTTATTTTATAACTGTGAAGATTCACTGTTATTATCTTTGAAAATTTCAGTGTTGAAGGAGCAATTCACGTTTTTATAATTTATGACTCCTTAAAAAAGATCACAAATAAACTGGATAAAATCTTCATTTTAATGATTCATAAACTATTTCATCAAATGATTCGCAAAACGTGGGAAGACGAGGAAAGGGACTATAATTTCTTTTTTGTCCCTTTCTTTTAGTCGCCTCTCCAGGCAGCTTTAGCTGTCTTCAGAAATCTTTAAAAAAAAATTTTAGAACATCTGTTAATTATTGTATTTTGACAAATTTATCCCTCAAATACGAAATCTGTTAGATACAATTAAAATTCATAAAATATTGATATAAGAACGACAAGTTTTTGCATACTAAATTATATTTTATTGGCTCTCGTGTTGGCTCCATTCATTTTGCAAAGCCAGATCGAACTAAATTAGATAACTAAGGGTGGGTTTATAGCAACCGAATTAAATGCTTGATTGCAATTAAAAACTCGTTACGTGATTGGTTGAATTTTGATGAACAACCTATCAGATTTCAAAATTTTGAAGTTAAACTTAATTTCGATTTTATTCACTTTCTGTAAACCCACCCTGACTTGCAGAAAACAATGAAACCATTTAATTGAGTTTTTTTTTTAATTTGTTGCTTCAGTTTTAACGAATTGGGAAAAATCGATTACCATTTTGAAAACATCTGGAACACCATACTTTTTAAAAATGTTTAAATTAAATTAAAATCGAGGACCTTATGTTTATTTCTGAAATATCTTGTTCTAGTTTGCGCTGATAACTTCTAGCAAAATATGTATTTCGGGTGTTTCTTGTAAACTTGTACGCAATAAATAATCTTTTCCATTTGATTGAATATCACATTTTTTTGTCTTTGGCTTCACTTTATAAATGAAGTAAATTGAAAGTTTTGGGCAATATGCAAGGCTGCGAGATATTCACGTTATTGATAAAAGAATTTTAAAATAGACTGCTGATCCAGACAACAGTCAATCAAAGTTGCATTATCATTTTTCCTGACAGGCAGAGATAAAAATTTTCAAAATACTTAATTGCATGCGTCTGCATGTACGGTGTTTTTTTATTCTTGTTAAAAGCCAGCAATAAGTTTTACCAAGTAGATGAATTAAGTACATTGTATATTTATTTAATGAGGGAATAAAATATTTGTGATAAACCTTGACATTCATATATTTTATTCTCTGATATTAGAATTTATTGTTATTAATTGTTGCTTTCTATTAATCGCCATTGTAAATATTTTTAGTTCAGATGTCCTTTAGATAAATTTGACATTGACATTGAGTAATTTAGGTACTTTAACAATTACACAATAAAATAGGACCTACTCCAAACTTTTACACAATGGATTTTGGCGGTCATCATTAATAAACGTAATAAGTCGAAAGGACACTCACCAAAGTAGAGCGGCGATTCCTTGCTGGCAACGTTATCGTCGATGTACGGAATCCCTAAAGTATACACAGCCGTTTGCCCCATTCCCACCCCTAACAAGCTAATAAAAAAAATTGCGAGGACGATTTTCGTAACCGAGGGTTGAATCCGATGTTCCGTATCGAGTTCTTCATGACATATTTGTAGAATATTTGGAACCACGGTTGTGGTAGACGGCAGGGAGGTATTCCCCCAATGAGTATTGGGATCCATCAGGTCTAGTGAGTTGGGAACTTTGCAGACATTCGGATCTTTACTGATCCCCGTGAGATCATTAGCTCTAATTAACTGTCTCCCATAAATAAAATGGGGTAAGGAACAAGTAAACGACGACACCGCGAACAGAACCATCCCCCATGCGATCCATTTGGGCCGATGCCCCTGCCCCCCGTAATAAGTCAAGAGTAGCGACGAGCCAATTTGGCCGATTTCCGTTGCACTCATTATAATCCCGGTGATTTTGGATTGAATTTCAAAAAGTTTTTCGATCGTCGTTATCGCACTGACAAAATACGTGTGGTACATCCCTTGGAGGACCCACGCGATGCAGAAAACTATAAGGAATGCTTGCTTGGAAGCAAACATTTGCAGCCATTGAGGGGCGAACGGCCCCAAACCGCATTCCGTGTCGCTGTCGCTCGGGAAATCACCCTCACTGACGAAACACTGCGATCGGTAAACTTCGGTTTGTTTCGTTAGGGCCGTTTGCTCCTCGGGGATGTCCTGCATGCCCAGCCGAGTGTTGCCGTTGGAGGGGCCGTTGTTGTTGCTCGGTTTACCTTCAGCCCACATCGTACCGTTTGCCAGGCGACTGTTACCGTTTGACATTTTGGAGGAGAGCCGAGTCTATCGCCGTCTCTGAAATGCGAAAAGGCGAGATGGATTAACAATTAAGGGCATTTTTGATTAACACTGCCTTAAATACTTTCATTACTTCAATAGCCGATTTTTTCAAAAAAAAATGCCAAAAGTCTGGAAATTATATTTTAAAAATGGTTCACCAAAATTATTTGAAACATTACACACACAGAGAGAAACATTGTTTTTTTTTTTGTTTAAAAAGAGGATTTTGTTGTGAATTCAACAGCACAGCATTTGTTCAAGAATAAAGTAAAATACAAAGACAGGTATGGACGCCGAAATTCCCCTTTTTATTTTTATTTGTTTAATAATGATTATTATTATTATAATCTGTATTATCCTACAGCCCAAAAACATCCAATTAGGGGACAAAAAATTTCAAAATTTAGCCTACTAATTAGAAAACTACATTAAATAATAGAAAAAGAAAACTATATTAAAGCAGATTAAAACAATTATTCTTAATACAGGTGATAACAGTAGCTTTTGAATCCCAATTTATGTCACACATTTCAGCAATTATATTAAAATAACAGCTCATTAAATAGGCAGGTGCTTTTTTCCCTACATTTGTTCTGCAAACTAAATTTTTGAAATATTGCTTTCTGTGTGTGACATAAGTTAGCACATGAATACACAATTTACTTAACAAACAAAGACAATCAACTACTCCATAAATAATATAATACAACACAGAAACAATTAATTTTCTCCTTCGCATTACTAAAGGTTGCAAATTAAACTTATGCAGGAGACTAAAATTTAGCTGTCTTATTAGACAACAAATTACCATGATGGTCACATAAATCGTTCTCCCAAAAATAAAAAATTAACACTCGGTCATAGTGTTTTATAGAATTGATAAATTAGCGAATTTGTAACTCACAATTTTAGATCACGTCAATTATTTCCAAAAACTTAAAATAAAACAATTAAATGAAAATCTACGGCAAGTAAACTTCGTTAAACAAAATTTCCTAATAACGTTTCAAAGGAAATTTGATTATTTGGTGATCTCAAATCTCACAATAGTTTATTTCTTCAACAGATCGTCAACTAATCAGCACGCGCATTTTGGCAAGAAGTTCTAAAAATTTTTTAAGGAAAATTTAAGATTTCCGGATAACCTAACTAATAAATCTTAAGTAAAAATTCTTTTGCACTGTTTTAGGAATTTCATCGTTATTACATATTTTAAGCATTTTTTTAAATTGGCTCAATTAACGTGTTATTATTTTGTCTTAATTTGTATTACAATTTAGATTTTTTTGGTCTTTTGGACGCTTTATATAGGGTGCGCCAGAGAAAAATGCCATGTAAGGTAAGATACCAGAAACCAGGAAAGAATTCTATCTACAATAAAAAAATTAACTCTATTTGACATTTTGCCTATTTTGACACTTTGACTCTATTTTCTGTTGGAAGAATAATATTCCATGTTTTTTTGATGCAGGCTATTAAAAGAAGCTGTATCCTGAATTGTATATTTAACGTTATTTCTGACTTTTATTGGCAAAGTTTTTTACCTTTACTCAATAATTATGAAAAAACATATACAAGGTCATCGCTAACATTAAATAGACATAAAAAAGGACAAATGTCAAAAAATAAATGTCCAGATTATTGACAGATGCATTTTTTTAAACATTTACTTGTCATTTTTCTCTGGATCGCGCACAACGGTGCAATACTAAAAAGATGCAGATGATTGATTTTGAAATAGTCTATGCGTGTGCAAGGTTTCAAACAATTCTGGTAATCCGTTTTGAAAATGTGTATTTTTGCCAACCTTGTATAATGATGATTAAAATTAGTTTCATTAATCGATTTCCGGATTTTATTTTCAATTTTTTTATAAACTGTTGAGGACTTAATGTCGAATACTGACTGTTTTGTGTGTTTTGTGGTACCAGATCTAGCTTTATGAGAGAACTGAAAACCGGTTTAATTTGTATTTGGTCAAAAACCTGTTCTTCTGCAAACCAGTTTTTTGCTTAATCTAGTAAAAACTGAAACTAGTTTGAGCAAGTTTTATTGTCATGCGAGTTGCAATTTGCGCATGTAAGAAACAATTATTCCAGAATTTGGTTTAAGTGTATTGATTGTCACACAATGACAAGCACATTTTTTGGTGGTAAATTAAAGAAGACATGCAACTTTTCTACTGTAATAGAAATTTCAAACGTTTCCAAATCGGATTCAGTGCTGCCTAATTGTCCCGATTTATCTACAAAAATAACATTAAATTACGCGGAATGATTCAGCAGAACTGTCCGAAAAAAAAGATAGTTTGCATTTGGTGTATTACATTTGAAATCGATGTTTGTTAGTATTTTGTCGAAGTGGGTCGTTATGAAATTAAGAATCTATTAAAGTGGAGTCCCTGCGACTTAAGACGATCTTCTACCAATTAATAATAGTTAAAATCAGTAAAAATTTAATGATGTAAGTAGATTAAAGGTCAACGCCATGAGTGAAATAAAATTTATGTATATGGGTTAAACGAGGATATGTGATTGGTACATTAGAAAAAAAAGGCTATTTGACATGTGCAACGTCGATAGTTGGAATACTAAATATATCAAAGGTGATGTAGCTGGAGAGAATACCAAAATACATGCGCCGCATTCCTTTTCAGCGGGAGTAAATAAAATGATAAAACCTGACAAGACGGGATGAGTTCGTGTTCACATAGACGGAGATTTGATTTGGGCACAAGAACAACACTTTTACTAGGTCACAACTAGAAGCTAGTGTCTTTTCTCCGACTTCGCAACTTGTTCACCTTGACATCTCTATACCTACACCTAATTAGTTTTTTGATTTCACGGCTAATTCAAATTCGAACATTTAATGACGAAACTATGTCAAAATAATTAAGCTCAACTATTTGACACGTGCTACAATCAATATCATTATCGGCTATTCTACTTAGGGTTAATCGCTTTAACATACTTAAAAACATAATCGATATATTTTCACTATTGACTGTTTGTAAATTTACAAGATCAGCTGTATCTCACATTATGTAATCCCGAATCCTACGAGTTCTCAACCAAGGTTTTGATGATAGATGTTAAACATAATTACTCAAATGTTAACAACTTGTTACGTTATCAGTGCCACCACGCATCTCATTTATAAAAATTGCACTCCAAAGCTGATTTTAGAAAAAAAAATACTACTTTGTCCGTTGCAAACTGTCGAAGATCAAATTTATTATAAAAATTTTTTGGAGTATGACGGACACCTTCCTTGGCCATGTACAGCCGGCTTTAAAGCAGCACTGGCGCGAAAGTGCAAATCCGGCGAAAGGGGAATGTGGTTTCGTTTTCGATCGGAGAAAGGTGGTGCAATCGTCTCACCTGTTCATAGGTGAAAATCATGACGAGAGTCGCGTTGGCCGTTGCGCAGCGCCAACCTCAAGTGCTGATGATGACGACGAAAGCGAAACGTCACTAGACTAGAACAGAGAAGCAGCACACTTTCTCCACTTTATACAGCACTCTCCACAAGCAGGGCTTGCTGAACACTGCGCGGACCGGGATAGAGGCGGCGCGGGACTGATTAGCATAACCGAATATTTGCACAGGGTCGGACCAGCTTCGCAAACGAGCTGTACACTTATACAGGATGTGCCGAAAAAGTGAACTAGAATTGCCAAACCTCCGAAGTTTCCACGAAGACTTTGAACACTGGCCTTATGCAAAGTTGGAGACTCGACACTATAATTAAGATAATCTTGTATGTACCAAAGAACTATTTTCGCATTTATTATTATGTATTTATTATCTTCCATGCAGGAGAATTACGTAGGTATTATTTCGGCTAGGTCATGAGGGAAACTATTGGATAAGAGAGAGTGATAAGGAGTAAGCTTGTACACGAGTATTGATCGGTTTTGTGAATACAGTATATCCATTCCATACCTTATACTAAATACTGACGTGAAGAAGAATTATATTTTAATCGTCTAGTCCAACCAGTTTAAACCCACTCGAGTGATTTATTAACCCTTGAGTGAGTTTCGACCCCTTATCGTTTTCACGGTGATCTGACCTCAATAGAAATTAATTTGCATAAAAAAACTTCAATTGGAGTCAAATTAAGTTTATGACAACATTTGTGACAACAAAAAGGCTATTTTGATTTTGGTTTGAAACCCTATTTCGTATATTGCTCCAAAAATCTATATCGAAAGCTTTTTAAATCTGTAAGGTTTGGAGTAGAATTACTACAAAACAAATGAATGTATTGTAACTTAAATAACTATGAAATAAGTAAATGCCATTAAAAGTTTTTCTACAAGGAAAACTACACAAAGTAGCAATAAAAACAACAGTTGAATGAGCACCGTAAAACTACTTAAAAAACTACCCACAGTTTTGTGTCAGATGTAAAATTACACCAAATAAAAAGTGGTTAATGTTTTACACTAAATTATAATTCTCCACACAATTGTCCTAAAATAATTTTAGAACAGTTAAATTTAATTCATTGTTTGTACGGTGGAAACTACAAATAATTTTTTATGAGACTTTGAAAAACATTTATTTTAATTACACTTATATTTGTACATACGTTGTTATTCCAAGAAGACAAGAATTATATTATCTTGAGAATTGACATTAACTCAATTCTTGTACAGCAAAAACAAAATATTGAGTTATTTTTATAATAATTTAAAAGATATTTTTTAATGAAAAGTGGCAAAAACTTTAAAAAAAGACTTTTCAATGAAAACTGATGAAAACTTGAGAAAACTTCATATAATTTTTTAAGGGTAAAATTACACAAATTTCGAAGTATGTAGGTACAATTAACCCAAATATTAAAATTTGCATGGAGTAATTTCTACGATAATTAAAAAAAAAAATAAAATATGTAAAAACCACGTTACAATAACTACAATTTATACTCAGTAAAAATACTTTGAATTTAATTTCCATAATATGTACTACAAGTTATTCTAATATCAAAAAAGGTGTAAAAGTCTA